TTTCGAAGATAATAGCACCGAAATCGAGAGAAAAAACTTTCAAAGGTTAAGGATTTAATGACTGCATGTGAATTTCCAGCATTTCGAGTTACGTTTTATTAGCGTTTTCGGATAAAATGACGCTTCAGCAGAAGTGAGTCTTCCAATCACAGTACGTAACAGAGAAGTTAGTCAATTACACGCAAGTTCTGACGTTCATTTAAGAATTATAGCAAATTAAAATAGCTTGCAAATTTAGTGTCGCATTTAATACTCTTAGCCAACTCTTTAATCACACATGCTAAATCACTTCAATCAGATGACCAGGAATTTACAGTTGATCAACTGGATTCTCTGATATTTCGAATGACCGAGTTTTCTATAAAAAAATTCTGTGCTATTTATCTTTTCAGAGAACAATGTTCAGTGCTGATTTTTGAAAGGATAGCGTAGCAGAAGTTTCCGAGGCTCCTCACTTGAGAAATATTAGGTTGGTGCAAAAGTAATGCGCGTTTTGCGACTTCTCACTTTGACGTGCTATAACTTTCTAAAAAATCTATATTTTTCAATGCGGTAAAAAACATCAGGAGCATCAAACCTTCCGCAATACAGCGCACATCTCCCTACACGCATATCACCAATAGACAGAAAAATATGGATTGATAAGCAGAAAAAGTTTTTTTTTCTAAAACCTCGTTTTCAACTAGTCATAACTCCCTTCAAAATTTGTTAATGCAAATGATAAACAGACTAGCTTGTAGCCGTAAGTCAATTGTACAAACCAAGCTGGAAAAGGCTTGAACGAAAAAGGTTTGCAGGAAGAAAAAAATTAAAATCCAAAAATATCCGCTTTTTTGAACATTTTTTCGCAGGCCTAAAAATCCCAAAATATGGAGTTTTGTTGATTTTCTGCGTGATGAACAGCTACACAATTCTGTAAAAACTGTCAGTAGGAGGCCCACCATTACGCTTACAGAAATGAGCAAAGCTTTGGCGATTGCCCTCTTCAAAGGAAATCTATGGGACACAGAATGATCAAAACGGCTGCCCATGTTGAAGCGTCGAAATCTCAGTCTAGGTAATTTCTGAAAAAATAGTAAAATGTGCATAACGTAAATAATTTTCGTTAAGTACAGTAGCCAGAGTTTCAAAAGTTTGCCTATATTCGGGCTTGATTTCTGGCCAGAAAAGTAAATGAAATGAAATTCTGGTTTCAAGTGCGATTGTGTGAAGCTCTATTATTGTTTAATTAATGAAGTTAAAAGCCCGTTTCAACCACCTTTGGATAGAGGATGAAAGGAGCTTCTTGGAAACGTGTTAAGTTTTCTCCAAAGAAGAAAGTTTGATGGAGAAAAGTTGTCCTAAAACAAGGGGTAGAAAAACGCGCATTACTTTTGCACCAACCTAATAATAACTATGTTCCTCGTTTTTCTTCCATTTTCTCTCTTATTACATCAATACTGAGTCTATGCTCTCGCTGCTTGCACACCTCACAATGAGACTAGTGATTGGGTGGAGCAAAGGGCGTGACCTGACCTCTGAAGCTCGAAGGTGCTAGATCCCTTCAGGGTGCAAATGCTGGTGCGAACTTGGTGCGAGGAAAGGTGCTAGGAACTCCTGCACGCCCTCCGGTGCGAAGCCCCCGATCGTATGAAAAGTCCCCCTCCCCATTTAGACAAATTACCAGGCTATACGCACTACCAAAGTTGCGCACATAAACCAACCACGAGCGGTAAGAATATAGGTATCCTTCGAAAAAAAAATTGATATGGTTCTTCTTTGTACATATGCTTATAAGGCCCCGGGCATACCTCACGCTTCAGTCGGCGCGCGTTCTGGCAATATCCCAGATCTCTTCAAAACCAACACCTGCAGACTACAAATTCAGATCATGTACAATTTCGTAACCGATAAAATGCGCCATCTTCTGTTTATTCAGAATACGCTTAGGATGAGTTATGAACAGTTGGAGTCTTCGATAGCTGAAGACAGGACGTCAGTGACGGTTGTTTGAATATCTGCTCTTAATAAAAGTTAAGGTTGTTTATAGAAAATCAAAGAAAAAAAAGAGAAACAGACAGCAAAAGTAGAGCAAAGTCTTAATAAGCTAATACAAACGCTGCAGTGAGTTTAAAATCTTCCATTTGGCGGCATTTCGAAGTGCAGGTTTTCGTTACAGGGCAGGCAACCCAAAACACGGGGAAAACAAAAAGCTTGTTCCTTCTTTGTGATTGTTTTGACAATAACCATGTTTAAGTTATTGTGACTATTAAAAAGAATGAACATGAAAGGAATTAGTTATGAGAACGGAAGTTTCTTTCTCATAAGTCGAAATACACGGCAACGCCAAATCAAGTTTTTGATGAGTCCTTTGAAATTTACCCTGCGTTAAAGTCCTTGTTTTCTGGGAGTTGTGTGGATTGTTATGCTCATTATTTGATAAAGGATGAATACTAACTTACATTAACCTTTTGAAATGATACAAATATATTTGGAATCAGCTTGGAACGGTGATTCCAATAAGGCCATTCTAGCTGCTTAGCGTTATTTTGAAACGAGTTATGGTCTCTTTTCTTTGCAAAGTTTGCGTGCTCCTCGATTTACTGACGCTACGGTGTCACGTCTAGGTGGTTTTGCAATTGTATAATGCTCCCTTTCAAGATGAAAGAATTAATCTGGTGCTAGTTCAACATCCCAGCACTTTTTTGGAGCAGATTCCTGTACACGCCGTCTTACGACATTCAGAAGCTTGTTAGTTCCTCACAACAGCAAGCCGCTTAGGAATAATTCTAAGCAGCTAGGAACATCATATTAGGAATCAGCGTTCAAAGCTGATTGCAAATATATGTATCTCGTCTTAAAAGGCGAATCTAAGTTGGTATCCTTCCTTTGTAAGCAATATTCACCCAAGCTGGGAATAAATCGCTGCGAAAACACCGAAAGAGAACTAGGCAAAGAAAAACACACTTTTTTATGGTTTTCACAAAAAATTCACCATAATCGAAAAAGTAAGCTCTGGAACGTTGCCTACATTTTAGACAGAAGCAAGATCTGTTAAATGCACGAAAAACCGCCTGGAAAAAGTTAAGCTTTAAAAAGAACAAGAGGTTTTCGACAAAATGGTTCCTGCCAGATTTTTCTTTTAAATAAAAAAAATGGGGTTTTGGGACATATGCAGCGTGGAAGTAGAGATCAAAAGCTTCAATATGATATACAGTTTGTGCAGTCGTGATCAAAGCAACGAAAAAAGGGTACTAGAGCCAAATGCCCCGTGCCCACGTTTGGGATAGCAAGGTAGCGCGCAACGCGCGGAGACGCAGACAATCAGAGGAGAAGGATCAATGCCGACAGGGCAATGGTCTCTCTTCTCGGGGCATTTGCTCTGGTCGCAGATCTCCGTGGAGTCTCAACAAAACCCTGAAACTCATATATTAGGGTGAACGGCTAAAAATGGGACGGCTTTATTTTTATTACATTTTGAATTTGTTTCGATCAACTATAAGAAGGCTGCAGCTCAAACATCGCTTATATAAGCGACTTTCCCCTATTATTTTGGTAACCCGTTAACGCCCTTCTCCTACGACCTTGCGCGTGGCGCCGTGAAGAACTCAAACAGGGTTTTTTTGAACAACCCTCATTCTTGCGCTGCTCTACCGTAAAGTCATAAAGCAACGCAAAACCAAAAAATCATGTTTCAACCTACATACTCCGAGAACAGATGATGTTTGAGGTAAACTGCATATGATGGATAGAGCATAAAGAGCTCTATCAGATAGTAACCAGATAAAGTGCGTTCATTTGCAAAGAAGTAAATAACACGCATCTTTATTCCACAAAATGCTGATGATCACATCTCCTACTTTAACTATGGCCACCGCGGCCACCCCATCTTGGGTTCGGTGACTGTACCTTAACCCATTATAGCCCGATACTTTGGATGGTCTTACACGTTTCACTGCGCAGATACTGCTCGAAGTTTGTAATTTGTCGAAGTGACTAATTTTGCATTTCAGCAAGTATAGAAACCATTTAGTATGTTGATACCTTATATGAGTGTTGACTGAAAGAGAACAATATATTCTAACATCTGCCAAAATTGGAAAGTTCAAATACTTCTTCTTTCTTGAAAACTCTACAATTCTTCTTTAGGTGTCCCATTTTTTACCGTTCACCCTAATATCATTCTGAACGTCATGACACGACTAGGATTAACACGCCCCGACCCGTGCTTTGAAAGTCACTCATTAACAAGATAAACCAGCATTTTCGTGGAAGACTCTCTGCGCAAGATTTGAACGCTACTTTTCGTCTTTATTCAATTCGAACAGCTTTCGTGAACTTGTGAAACTCCATTGTAAATAGTTAAAAAACGTAATATTAAATTTTTGGAAAATTCACACAAAAACCTTCTCTTTAGCGTAAAAAGGGTATAAAAACGCGATGTTTTTTAGTTTTGCTTTGCTATTCTCGAGACATCATTCACTACATCGCCCCAGATTACTTCTGCTTGATTCAAATAAAAGTTGTGCTCTTTTACGTCACAAGTGAAGTTTACCAGAGTACATGGCGCTAATACCGAAGGTATGGTTTGAGTATTGCTAGATCGCATCGCGGCTGAGACCGCATGAGATATGACCCAAGCCTGAATTGTTGCGAATGAAAATGATAGTTCATAATTTGAAGAGAAAGCAGACGGTAAAGATAGGGCGGTAAAAGTGCGAAGGGTAACACGTGATGCGCAGGTCGAGTGATTTTCTTCGTTTCGAGAAAAAAGCGGTTCTCAAAAATATCGTAAAAGACCTAGACTGACTGTTCAGTTTGAAGCAATGTCCATGTTCACTGCAGATTTGCATCATATCAAACCCGCATATGACTGCTGAAGTATGGTTATTCATTGCACGCAAAGACCGGAGGCCATTGCGTACATCGAGATAATACGTGTTTGGGGCTCCAGACGGTCGAGGATTTACTGCATCGATGCTGACCTATCTTTGCATGCGATAAATCACCCATGCACTCACCCGCAACTTCACCAACTGCTTCGCCTGCGTGCTTAACTCCTTCGACTGCACCACTTGCAACATTGACTGAATGCAAAAACAGATAATAATGGGATCAACAACACGAAACGCACTCACCAGCAGTGTCTTTTGCAGCAACAGCGCCTTCTTTGACGGTTTGGACGGCGGCACCTCAAAGCCATCGCTCACAAGAAATAGTTGAGAAAAAAAAACTCTACCGGCTCCTTCGGCCACAGTTTCTCCGGCTTTCGCTACTCCGTGAACAGCTCCACTGGCGGCATCACCTTAATTTTATAAGATAAACGTTAGGTTGAAAAACTATGTGTCGCAGAAAGGGAAGGTCCCACGCGAACACGCAGCCGCACATTTCAAGACATTACAGATTTTTACCGCCTATCCGCGCGGGGCGGAGCCTATCGGCGACATATAGTCAGCTACTCTAAACGTTATATGCACTGCAGTCAATTGCAAGCTATTTTGTGAAGTTGCACACCGCGCCCGACATTTCAGAATCTCTCTGCCAAGTAAACAGTGAGCAAAGTTTCGATCACGCTCAGACAATGGGGCCGAGCCGCGGGCCTTTTCCGGCTGGAATTTCGCAGCTTCCGCGGCCCGGCCGGAGATGGGCCGCGGCTCGGCCGGAAAACAACCTCGGTTCAGCCGGAGCTGGTTGTCGAGCAGTCTAGTTTTCATTCTAGCTTGGATACAGTAGAACTGTTTTTTTATTTACTGGCATATATTCTATATGCCAGTAAATAAAAAAACAGTTCATACACAGTAAAAAAACGAAAGTTGAGGCCATTGATATAGCGGCTTCAAAAACTAAGTCCGATTTCGACATTGGACAACACAAGATGCTATCCAAGGTTGTACAACATGTTGATCTTGTTCCCGCCTTGGAGACTGGAAAGACATCGAAGGCTCTGGACGCTGAGGGCGGCCTGACCATGCGTCGTACATTACGCAAGTATTCTTTATGCTCAAAAACTGGGAGCGGCCGAGCCGCGGACCTTATCTGAGCAAAATCTCTATAATGAAACTCCGGCTGCGGCTCGGCCGGAGTTTCATTATAGAGTTTTTGGTCCGCGGCTCAGCCGCTGCAATGCTCCACCCCCATCATTAAGGCCGCGGCTGAGCCGGTAAGCCATATTCAGTCCGCGGCTGAGCCGGTAAGCCATATTCAGTCCGCGGTTCGGCCGGTCCAGTGATATTGACATGAATTACTCAGACACTGGGACCGGCCGAGCCGCGGCCCATTTCCGGCTGGAATTTCGCAGCGTCCGCGGACCAGCCGGTGAATGGTCCGCGGCCCAGCCGAAAAACGGCCTCGGCTCAGCCGGAAAACGGCCGCGGCTCAGCCGGAGCTGGTTGTCGGACCATCTAGTTCATTCTAGCTCGGATACAAAACGACTGTTTTTTTATTCACTGGCACGTAAAATATACGCTGTGAAAAACAAAAATTGAAGCTACAGACATGGCCGCTTCGAAAACCATGTCCGGCTTCAAAATTGGACAACACAAAGTGCTATCCAGGTGTTGTACAACATATTCAGGTGTTGTACAACATATTGGTCTTGTTCCTGCCTTGGAGACTGGAAAGACAACAGAGGCTATGGACACTGAGGGCAGCCTGACCATGCGTCGTACATCACGCAAGTGTTCTTTACGCTCAGTTACTAGGACCGGCCGAGCCGAAAATGGGCCGCGGCTCAGCCGGTGTTTCGTAATAGAGATTTTGGTCCGCGGCTCAGCCGGTGCAATCATATCGACATGAATTAAAGTCCGCGGCTGGGCCGGTAAGCCATATTCAGTCCGCGGATCAGCCGGTGCAATCATATCGACATGAATTAAGGTCCGCGGCTGGGCCGGTCTTCGGCCACGCCCCCAAATTAAGGCCGCGGACGGGCCGGAAAGGCCTTTTGAGGCCGCGGCTCAGCCGGTCCCAGTGTCTGAGTAAGGTCCGCGGCTCGACCGCACTCCTGCCACGCCCACAAATTAAGGCCGCGGACGGGCCGGAAAGGCCTTTTGAGGCCGCGGCTCGCCCGGTCCCAGTGTCTGAGTGGCTCGAAACGGGTTGGAACGTGGAAGTGAACAGCGCCGATTTGACTTTGCAAAAGTTCACGATGTGCCCATTAACCTTTCCAAAGCCTCTTGGCGAAACAGTGCAAACTCAACCTGCGCTGATTTTAGTGTATCTAGTACTGCAACATATCAAAGTTTTTGAAACGTGGAGCTGATGAGGCTTTTGAAATAGCGTGAAATAAGGAGACAAACCGGATCTTGCTGTTATGATAAGTTTTGATAAGCATATACAATCTATGGAAGAGATGACTCAAAATTATGGAAAGGGTTGAATCCAGCTCATACTCGGTCCGGCCAAAGCAATAAACATCACACACGCCCTGAAACACTTATCTCAGGTACTGTCGATTTGTTAACCGCACGGACTGGACATCACTGCGGTGCACGCGCCGCGAAGTAAAACGCTTGGCCCAATACCAATTCGTCATGCTCCCTCAACATTTCAGCCGCGCCGCGCGTGGTCCGCAGCATTTGAGCCTTTACGGAAGGCATAATCAACGGAGAACGTTCCAAAAACACTTACTTAAGTTTTTAATACCCTAATTTTACGAGTACACCTGTTTTTCTCTAAAGTTGACCAGCCGGGATAAACCAAAAAAAAATTCGCGACCAAAGGATCTTACCTAGAAGATTTGTGTATTGGAGCGCCATTCCGCGAGGCGCGGTAATACGGCCGAGCTGCTCGGATATTCGCCGGGGGCAGGCGGCGATGCGATTTATGTGCGGGCGGGCACCGAGGAAATAATTCGCTGATTTCTTGCAATCCGCTTGCAGATATTTGGGGTTTTGGGCGAATGCTCGGAGGACAATCGCGGTTTTTTGTGGACTGGTTGCGGCACGGTGGCCGGATCCTCGCGGACCCCGCGGGGGGGGGGGGGATGCGGGGTTGCTGGTGGCCGCGCGGCCGTTTGGAGGACCACGCACCCCGTGGGTGCCTTCCGCTGGGGGGAGCGCACCCCGAACTTGGGTGACTGAACCATCGATAGAACCATCGATGGCACCTCTGATATGTAGAGTGTTACCTTTGCTCGGCGTTTTCCCGAAACCCTGTAAAAAAGTCCGAGAGCCTGCTGAATGTTTGGCCGCGCTCGCTGAAAGAGATTATCTGTCTACCTAGGTCATGAAGGTTCCCATACCCCGATACCTGCGCATAATGGTCGCTAGGGTTAACAAGCTCAGATTTTCACCTTTCTGTGATGACCAGGGGATCTTCAGCGGATCAGCGGGATATAGAAATCTTGAGAAATCGAAATTTTCAATGAGCCTCTGTTCGCGAACTAGGATTTGTCATAAACACAGTCTTTAAATCCATTTCTACTGTCGAAAACATGCTCAGTAGTGCCGTAGTACATCCTCAAAACAATGCAGCATTTACAGTGGGTTAGAATGACAAAAACTTTAAAAATGAGAGGTGATCCCCTGGGAATCCCCAAGGGATCACACAAAATAGTGAAAATCTAATCTTGTTTAACAAAAAACTCAGTAAACTGGCATTTATCTTGCGCAGATATTAGGGTATGCGAGCCTTTAGAAAGCAGATAGAGAATGAAGAAAGTAGCAAGATATGTCGCATCCCATTCCAGATCAGCTCCCCCGCTTACGTGCATACGGGCCTTATAATGCTAACGTTCATCTTTAAAAAAGGTCAATTCAAACATAGGGTCCCTGTAGATTAGAAAACAGGCTGACTAATAGACGGATTGAATTTCCCTTGCTAGGTAGGCGACAAATAAATCTTGGTAAACCGTCAAACATTTAGATGGCGTGCCACCTTTCTTTGACACATGGCAAAAGGTTGGCACGCACTCCTTTGAAGCTGGGATCATCTTTGGTACAAGGAAAGAGACGATATTCTTTTTGAAAAAATGAGTCCGGGTAACGAAAAAGTATTTACTAACTAACTTAAATACTTATTGTTAGATGGCCCGTCTTCACGTGACGTGCGAGCGCCGGCACAAAAGTTTCCATCGATTTCTGTCCCTCGCTTCAAACACCCAAGATTTTTCTGGTTGTTTTTGGTGGTTATGTCCACGAGTTCCAAGAGCAAAAATTGTATTATCCAGCTGATTTCTTAGCTGATCCATCCGCTCCACAAACAAGTCTGCCCATCTAGTTGGAGGTCTTCCTCAGGGACGTTCCGTTCGTGAGGAATCCACTCTGATGTTTTGGTGTCCATCTGTCGTCTGTTCTTCTGAATGTGACCGGCCCATCGATGCTTCGCGTTCGCAACGTACTCTGCTGGGTTAAGAAGACATTCGTCTAAATCCGTACTGCGAAGTCGACAAGGTGTTGTTTGTGTCGGCTCATCTTCAGAAGACTGCGCTCAAGCGCTCTGTGGTGGTCCGTAGATCTTTCGACGTGGCCCCAGTGTCGGCCCAAGTCTCAGCCAGAGCGCCGGGAGAACTATTGAGTCGAACAGATGGGCACAAAGCTCCGTCAGTTAGTCGGTGGCTTCCTTCAGAGGCCCGAAGGCGGCCCAGACTGCTCTTCTTCTCCTGTTAAGTTCTTCCCTCAAGTCGTTCTTTATGTGTTCATCGAACGTCCGAGATACATGTAAGAAGACGTCTAATATACGGTGTTCCAATCCCATTTCTTCATCTTCGCAAAGGGCGTTCTTCATAAATTGAGTCTTCTTCCGATTTATTCGCAAACCGATCTTCTTCCCTACTAAGTTTAGTTACTTCAGCATCGTCTCTGCTTTAGGGATACTCGAGAAGAGAACTATGTCGTCCGCAAAACCCATCAACTCGTATGCCTCTTTCGTCCCAGTACAGTGACGTCATCATCCACTGCAAGGCGCTGTGTGCGGCTTCGGCAAGATTATGTCGCCTTGTCGGACACCCTTCCCAATTGGAATGGTCAGGGGTCGACGGAATAGCTGCATCGTCGTTGTACAGTCCTTGCAGCAGTCGGCATCACGTAAGCTGGGTCCACCCCCTTGATCAATAAACGCTGGCAGGATGGCGCTGGTTTTGAGCTGTCAAAAGCTTTCTCGTAGTCGACAAAGGTAAGGACGAGAGGCGTCGGTATTCCCGGCAGAATTCATCATCCTCGAAACCGACTGGGTAGTCCATGCAGCTGAATTCTTTGCGAAATCCAGCTTGTTCTTGGGAATGGGCTTTATCCAATGTTCTAGATTTGCGAACGGAGATAATCTCTATGAAGAGCTTGTACGAAGAACCAGCAGGCATATTGGACGTCATTTCCAAAGATCCTCCCGTTCGCTGTTCTTAAGAAGAAGAACGATTTTAACGATTAAGAAGAAGGTTTTTGAAGTTCTTTACTTGCATAGAATCCTTTCATTCTGAAGGTAGATGTTAGATGCGATGCGAGAATCTCGTGTAGACGCTCGCTCAAGGATAGTCTTCTTTCGAGCAATTCCTTGGTGTCTTCAAGATGGGCTCGAAGTTCTTCGCGGAAATCACTTAACAGGGAACGATACTTGATGACCCCGGCCATTCATAATAGTTTATATCAAAAAATGCGCCTTTCAATGCTGGTTCGAATATTGTTTTCCTTATCTGCGAAACGAGAACCTGAATGGAGTTATATTTATTTTTTCAAAAATGAATTGCACTACTGCGAAGGATGAAAGTCATTAATAAAAATTTTTAGTACCTCTTCAAATGCTAGATATGATTTAGATAGGTATAAATACAACGTTACACCTTTAAAGATCCTCCTCAATAGCTTCAAACGGTAAAATAGATCAACGTGATTTCAACTACCTAAAAGTACGCAAATTTTTTACGAAAAACAGTTCATAACTTCCTTTAGAAGATCGTTTCGCAAATTTCGAGACCAGATTTAGAATCAGCGTCTCGAGATGCACCTTATGGTATACATCGCATTCCAAATGGCCAAGTCACCAAGTATCATTTCCTTGTAAGGCGCACTTTCCCCAGGCTCGCAATTCTCTTGAAAGCCGGTCGTAGTCGTACGTTGGATCCCTCAATGAGCCAGTCACAACTTGATATGAGCTCTTTCTGCCTGTTACCATCGTGAACGACTTCCTTCCTTCTTGCGGCACTGTGACAGACCTTCCCTTCCCGCTCGACTGAATTTTATCTTTGCTTGAAGGAGGCGGTGATAGGAACCACTGCAGAAAGATAAAACTAGTGAGACATCGAGCAAGCTCCACCTTCGATTGATGAGAATGTGGTCGATCTCCGCATAAGTCGTTCCGTTGGGCGATACCCATGTCCACCTGCGATGTACTTTCTTACTACAAGTACCTAAATATCTTTAAAATTAGTGTTCAAGGCCATGCAGTATCAGGTAGCTTGTATACGTTTTCCGCCAATTTTGACTATTCCTTGTTACTGATACCCAGCTGGAACGGTTGTGGCTGATGCGGAAAGAAGGCTTTCGTCCACAAAGTTTTCATTAGCTGTAGTATGAGTTCTCTCAAGCTCATGTGCACACCAAATGTGTGATGCCATTGCGTGTATACAAACATTTGTTCTATTTGAATCACAGTTTGAAGTCCTGCAGTGGGCGAGATCGTGTTGAGCATGTATATAAATAATGGCGCTATGGTGACTTGTTCAAACCGGTGAAACGTCTGAATAGACAATATCTAGACAGAGTTCGATGATGTGTTCCTCTCCGATTCGTCGGCACTCCGTCTCGTACCTCGTAAAAACGATCCCTCAAAAACGGGAGATGGTCTTTTCGCACGGGCAGTCTCCAGAGTCTCCCTGATCTTGGTTTGTCTTCACATGTTCGGCACGCCGCAAATCTTTCCTCCCCCTGTTTTGCTCAGGCAAAAGCCGCCGCAGAGTACGTCGCGCGCGGCGGTGGATGTGGAAAGCACTACGGTCGTGCGAATCGTCCTACACCCCTCAAAAACGATAGTGAACTTGTGACGGTACTAACTGCACTAGGCTCTGATTTCAATCGAGTAAGTGTAATAAACATTCAATGAGACTTGATAAACTATTTACACTCGACAAGAACAGGGAATGAATAGATCTTTAAGGATCAACAAAACCTAGGCATTTAGATTGTGAGATACCGTGCATGTTGTGCAATACTCACATTACAAATGCTTTACACTTTCCAATTTTTCATTCAAAGTGAAATAACTCACTGACAACTTCACCAACTGCAGCGGCACCTTCTTTAGCAGCTCCATATGCACCAGCTGATTTGGGAAATCTATTGCTTGTCGGAAACATAAGCGAAAATTTTTCGAAAAAAACCAACCTGCTGTTTTTGCGACACCAACCCCAACTGCCTCAACGCCATGCTTTGTCGTATTATAGGCGCCTACTGTAAAAAATAATTTTGAGTTTATTACACAATAAAAAAAACTAGTAAACACACCGGCAACATTTGCGACTCCTTCTCCAGCTGCTTGAACGCCTTGCTTTGCTGCGCCTGCAAGTTTCTGGATAACTCAATAAGACAAGGTTTTCTAGCAAGTTTTCAGCACCGCGCCCACAAGCGTAAACAATTTCTGATACGCGAGGAAAGTGTAAGCTTTTGAATGCAAAGTTTGGGCAAAACGAACTTGAGATTGTGCTTATACGGGCCTATCGGCCATGCAGAATCCGGAAATCCACACTGGAAAGCGCGAACGGCGAAAAAGGGCTCTAGTACCGGAGGGAAATAGCGGGGAGGGGGGGGGAAGGGGGTCCTTCCCAATGTGGATTTATGCTCCGGAAGCTGTGAGCATAAATTCACAGTAGGGAGGACCCCGCCCACCTGCTGATTTTCCTCCTGTGTGAAAGCCATTTTTCACCGTTTTCGCGCTCTCCAATGTGCATTTTCGGATTCAGCGTAGCGAATAGGCTCGGGTAAGCACAAAGCACAAGATCTCAAAATCATGTTTTTGCCCAGACACTGCCTTTAAATTCTCTTTTCTCTCCTTTTCTCGTGCAAGTTGATTTGCAACCAGTGGTCTGTATCAGCAAATCTAGTGAGCTCCAGAACCCATTTAGCCGACGAGGTCGGTATTCACGAAATTAGTGGATTCCGGAACCCAGTGACTTAAGCCTACCCAGAGAATTCCGGAACCCACAAAAAGCCACTCGTCCGGCATTCACGAACGAACCCAGTGGGTTCGCGAACCTAAAAGCTGAGCATGCCTATATGCACGAGACTGTTACCCAGTACCTTGAGGCACTGCATTCGCGAACCCAAGCGTGATGCAAATTTCGCAATGGGTTACATGCGAAGCCCCTTTGCTGTGTGTTAAAAGACCCTTGTCTTTCCTGCACCAACATCATACAGATTCGCCGTTCTAAAGAAAAAGCTCAATGAATTTGTTTTCTTTTAGAACTTTCATTTTCCAAGGTGTATTGGTCTTATTACTTGCCAAAAGTCACGCATATAGGATAAAATTATTATATTTATCGCCTCTGCATATGCATATATATTATATTTATCGCCTCCGCATATATTTTATATTGCATAATTCCTGTGCACCAAAATAGGTACAGACCGCAATAATCCAAAATAATCCTTTATTCCAAATAGGATTCGATAATTAGATAGAGCAGATTTAACTCTACAAGATAGTCCCTAAAGTTTTGCAGCAGCTTTGATCCATGAGAAGATTGAAGCCAAAAACGAAAAGGAGCTAAGCATCCCAAAAAACTAAAAAAAATTGGAAGTCAGTTCAGAAAAATCAATCAAAATTCCTAACTTGATGCATTGTCATTTCGTATAAGACTTCTCTTTATGCAGTTGCTGTATTTTTCTCTCAGCTTCATAAAAACGGATTTTTCCAAAACAATGCTGAGATGTTCTAGCACTAACAGCTGTATACTATAGGAACTTACAAGCGCGAATGTGAGTTTTCAGCTTTTTACAACAGCTGGTTTGTAAGAAGTATCGAATTTTTAGCAATTAGGCAAGAAAAATCTGGATAAGAAAAGCTAGATTTAATATTTCTCGTGAACTAGTTCTTCTAAAAGGCTGAAAATGTAAATTTTTACTGCAAACGGCATGTACTATACAACTGTTAGTGCTAGAACATCTCATCACTAATTTGGCAAAAACATTAAAACAAACTTCGTTTTCTCAATTTCTAGCTGGGGGAAGATATAGCAACTGCATAGAGAATTGTCTTATACGAAATGACAATGTATGAGCGAGCTAGAAATCCTGAAGGATTTTTCTGAACGGACCCAATTTTTTTCTTGGTTTTTTTGGGGCGCTTAGATCCTTTTCGTTTTGCTTCAATCTTCCTTGAATCAAAGCTGCTGCAAAACTTTGAGCACTATCTTGTAGATTTGCTCTATCTAATGATATATCGAATCCTATATGGAATATAGGATTATTTTGGATTATTGCGGTCTGTACCTATTTTGGTGCAGGAATTATGTATCAACCCAATACAAAGGCTCAAGGACGTTAACGTGCAGGAATTAAGTTGTTGATTTTTTTGAGTGGAAGTAAGTGAGTTGCTCTTTCTACAAAGGCAAACCACTGCAGAGAACATAGGCAACTTTTTGCCGCAATTTACTGGGGGTTCTATTGATTAATCAACTTTTCATCTACAACCAGGAAAATAGACCTTATCATGCCCAACCATGCATTTTCCCATAGACATGTAAGAATGGGCAGTGAAGCTCTTTCAAGTCAATGCGAGGAAAATGAGGGGGTCATTGTCTAAACCAGTCACGAGCATGCGAATGAAATTTCGCAAAGCGCTCGTGGTGCATGACACGAAGACTAGAGAAGAGTAGGCACACATGTCTTTTTAGCAACCTAATTTGGAGTTTTTTTTTTCTGGATGAGACCGATACTGCCCAATAGTTTTTGTAATAGCTCGCATTTATCCACGCTTGTAGTAAAGCTGCATCGGATGCATCTAGGATTTTTCTTATAAAAAGACATAAGAAGACTACAATCGCCTTTCTGCGAAATTCGGTTTCCCCTCGAATCGGGATGAAAATTTGGAAAATGAGGAAAAGTGACCAATTAATCAACGCCGAACCGACATACAAAAAAATGACGATACAATTGATGTCAAAATCTCTGAGAGTTCATCAAGTGATTTTTGAAACCACACTTTTGTTGGTCAGCTTTTTTGTTCTAGTTAGAAGAAGCTCACCTGCCACAGCTCCAGCAGCATGAGCAGCTGAAACAGCTCCATCCTTCACCGTTTCGGCAGCACTACCTGAAAGCGGCAGCATTTAAACGGCATTGGTAGGCATGCAGTTTATAATAATTTCTAAGTTACTAAGCTCATAATTGATGCAAGTTTTTCACACCTTCTATCTTAAAGGCCAATTTTTGAAACAGAAACGATTATCTTGAAAACTTTTCAGGGCATTTTATAGAGCATTTTTTCAATTCTACATGTATGTCTTCGCTTCTGTAAATCTTTCATTCTAAAGTTTTAAGCCTTCGAACTCTACTGGACTGAATCTCAAAGTATTTTCCTTTTGATCTCTTTGCTATAAATTCATAAAAAATCACCTAGTACTCCAAAAAGTGTGCACGCTGCAAAATGCTTTTATAAATGTGAAATCATGAACAATCTTGAACTGTCGCTGCAAACTTGAGTGGTCGTTGAGCCCTTCTTATCCGACCACTGGCTTCATAACAAGCAGAGCGCGCTATCCTACTATATAAAGGCTAGTTATGGTCTCTCAGATCAGAGGTTTCCAAGATGTTGGCAATCTTTAAGCCAGATCTTTCTTGTCGTGGTCTCACAGTCATACAATAGCTTAGGTTTAGCCAAAAAAATGTTCTTCATGGTGGTCTTTACTGCGCTCAAAAAAAGTTTCAAAAAAGAGTTATCTTGATTAGGTGTTAAATTATAAAAACTTGTACCAATTACACATTAAACTGATATGAAAAAAATTGTCCTTTTTTGTGCTCCTACATGTCCAATTTGAACACTTCAAAGGCGCCATAGAAAAGTAGTATAGAAATTAGGAAGGCAATTACTACTGGGCTTTATTACACCTCAAGTTTTTAGCGTTAAGTTATAGTTCTTGTTTTAATTAGGTCTGAGGGTAACATTTAGTAGAGCAAAAAAAATTCTACAAGATGGTGTTTAAGTGTTTGCATCAACTTTGATCCATGCGAAGTTTGATGCTGAAAACTAAAGAGAATTAAATGCTCGAAAAATCGAGGAGAAATCGGAATTCCCTCCAAGAAGTATACGAACCCCTCACTCGTATACATTTATCAGATATTCAGATAAACCTTTGCTATTTTTCTTGGCTAGAAACGAATTCTATGATATCATCAATGGCTGTATACACATAAGTAACTGTACATTAGAACCCTTTTAGAATTACAACTGTATTTGCGAAACTTATCAAATTTAGCTTTCCTTTTGTGCAGAGCTAGAGCTCTATGGCTGTGCTACCAAAGGTTTGTTATGCAATCACTCAAGTTAGAATCTCAGCATCGCTTTGAAATCATAAAAATTTCCATTTTCTCGATTTTTTTGTTAAAGGAATACAGCCACGTATGTAATGCCTGACGCAGAATGAGTATGTGTGAGCAAGTTGGAATTTTTGTGACATTTCTTTTTGCCGCGTTCTAATTTCCGATGTTTTAAGAGGTGTATCTTTTTGATTTTTGGCTTCAAATTTCTTATGTTCAAAGTTGGGCAAATTTTTAAACACCACCTCGTAGAGCTTGCTTCCTCTATTAAACGGTAATCTCACACCTGGTGAAAAAATTATGATTTGTTGTAATGGAAATTCAAGGTGAGCAAAATGTACGTAACAAACCACCTTAATTTCACGAGTAGAAGGCAGGGCCCGGCACGAGGGGCAAATGACAAGCTGGAAATCGTTTTTGGTGGAAAAAGCAGAGGGGAAACCATTTTTGCGGGCGGAGCCCCGGAAGAAGATTCCAGTGCAAGCAAAAGAAGGTCGGATCATGCTTATTACCTTGTACATCTAATTCATTGGGAAGTAGTTTTGATAAGCCTAAACGCACAGCAGAGTCCGTGCGCGCTACGTCGCGCCGCCGCTAATTGCCGCGTGCGCAACGTCACGTAAGCGATGCCGCTGACAGCATGATTACATGATCAGTTCTCAATGCAGGCGTAACGATATAGCACCAAATTACGTAAACGAACGAAGAGAGGCTAGTAGAAACAAATTATGAAATATTATGAAATATGTGAATGGGAGGTGTAATAAGCATTTCCTCCTAAAATTTCGCAAAACTGTAAATGAAGATGTGAATTCAAATGGCTCGATTGCGCCGCACAGATGACCATACGGTACAAAACTTGGTAGTTACATGAAGATGGGCTTGCTGGGCTTAACTTAGTAGTGTCATTGGAAAATTATGTGACTGAAGGTTGTGACAAGCTTTTTTCTGAAAATTTCCCACTATGAAGAAAATGGAAAAATGGCTCGTTTGCAGCGCAGAGAGAACGAAATTGCGCAAGACTTGGTGTGTATACGCGCAGTAGGACTAAGGAACAATGATGAAAAAGTATGAAAAACTTATTTGAATGAAGAGCGTGCCCAACTTTTTTCCAAATTAGGTAGACAATTGCCCACCTAATGCCCACCTGAGGTGGGCAAAACTTTCTATTCACATAATTTTTTCAAAATTTTTACATTAACCTGTCTTGCACCTAAAGTTTACTATATGGTGAGATTTTGATTCCGAAACTCCTCCTCTTGTCTTTGTTAGAGCCCAAAATCGCATCAGCAGCTTAGCTTTCTAAGATGGAAAGCGCGCCCCAGTCAATCGATACACGTGGGAACGTCCCTCAGTCCTATGACTGCGCTACTTTAAAATTTCTTTATTCCATCATCATTTTTCTTGCTTATTCTTCTTCCTGTTTTCTATCTTGATGCAGGTAAGGAGTAATTAAAGGAATTTGAGCGTTTTTGGGCGTTTTTAAGCGCTTTTAGGCAAAGTGTGGCCGATTTTCGTTGCAGAAGCACAAAGCATCGTTTTTGGGCTCAACGGGTGTTCGTAAGAAGTGTTGGGATCAAAGGGGAATTCGTTTTGGGAAACCCCGCTTGCCCAACTCATGCCGGGCCCTGGTAGAAGGCGCACCTTTTTTGATTTTTTGAGCGAGCGGGCTTAGCACTCGCTGTGTTTGGAATACGAAACTCAGGTCACACGTACTTTCAGGCAACACGGACTGCATTCCGGTTTTTTGGTCCTTTGGCGTGTTTAGGCTGGTCGATTTTAGAAAAAGATCCCCCGCATCTTGTACCCGTGAAATAAGGGTAGTATTTTGAAAAGACAATGCCAAGGTGAGAATAAATAAATAGAAAATGGAGAAAACAAAAGACAATTTGGACTTTTCCACTTGTAAGCGCATACCAAATATGTCAGCTTTTTACAAGAAAGTTACAAAAATTACCGACGGACCAGAAGATTCTCAACATACTAATCTTTCATGAAAACATGGGAAAAGACTTACTGGCTGCATCTACGACGCCATCTTTAACAGCACCAGCAGCATCACCTGAAAAAAGCGTATTAGCAATCAAGAGATCAAACTGAAACAAGCCTTCTCCGGTCACCCTGTCAAGTACAAGTATTTCAAACAATCAAAGCTGGATCTTTATATTTTCAAAAAAAAAATGCTTGAGGCAGCATATTGGAGAACATCGCATTTCGGTCGTGCTGAGTTGCCTACCAGAAAATGTCTTCTAGATATCTCACATGTCTGTTTATAAAACATGAGCATCTCATGATGTGTTTTTAGTGATTTGAGCCAAACAGGTTTGTTACGACTTGACTGTTGAGTCTTAGGTTTCGTCATCAAAACCTTCCTCAGAGGCCTGAAAGAAATTCGTACTCGTACTTTGCATTACACCGCCAAACCTCTCTTCCCCACTTGCTTTGTCCAACTCCTTTCAAGGGGGCGACTAGGTTTTCACTCCAAGCACTAACTTCACCGAAGTCCTACAGTCGTGTAAGGACACCCACTTATGACCAAAAACGCGTATGACGCGGAAACTCGAAAGATTGTGCTGAGATCGAAACTGTTTACGAGATAGAATGCTTACTATGCCATGCAACGTATACTGGAGAGACTGGTCGGCCACTTTCAGTTTGTGTGAACGAACACCTGGCTAGTAAAAAACGAGGCAGCATGACAAGCCCACTTCGGAAGCATGAAGCAGCAGATGACGATGGTAATCATTTCGGTATCAGGTGCACTGTTGTGAATGAGTATTCTGATAAAGATATTGATCTAAGGACAAAAAATAATAAATATTCTAATCTCCAATTTTGCTTGTGCCGAACAGGTTTGTTATGGTGGTATCTTTATTCGAATGGCCTAACGTTTCGGCGGTTCGCCGTCCTCAGAGGCCTAAAAACGGCAGAAAGCATCATCCACGACACCAGACCATCAAATGTTTCTTTTAGCTTAGCTAGTTTCGACCTCTTTCTTAGTTCAATCCGCAAAATCCTCAAAAACCGAAATGAACCAACCGTTTACAACTACTATGTGAAGTATCCGCGCCGGAAGAATACAGCAGTACGACCGGAAATATGTGACAGACAGGGTCAAGCGTGTTGATGCGATCCGGGACCCTCATTTACGACCCCTTCCCTTGAAGGTACCCATCCGTACGACCCCCCCCCCCGCACGCTTACACATCTTCAATAATGTTTGAGATTCTGCAAATTATTTTTTTGAATTTTCAGGCATACTTCAGACCAGCAAATTCGATTCCCGTAGGCGACACAAATTTTTGCACGGAGAAAAAATGACATTCTTGAACAACAAAAGATGTTTTCGACTCAGAAGCTTACTTCCCACCTCTTCCACAGTTTTTCCCGCGAAAAAAATCGCTTGAGCGCCGTCCAGAACGAGGTCAAAAATGTGCATAAGCACGGTAGTTTGAAAATTCGTAACTAAGGCCAGGAAAAGACTGAGAGGCTGCAAAGCACAGGTTCTGTAACATAGTGCCCAGACTATCCAAAGAAAGAGTTTCAGCTCTTGAAAAGCAGTAAGCTCGAAAAAATTTGAATGCGACTCTCGCAAATCTAGATGCGATCCTAAAAAGCAAAGACTGGGGTTTTTGAGCCTAAACTTTTGTAACTTACCAGAGAAGTTATAAAACAGCCTGCAATTTTTATGAGAGAAAGTAGGAGGATGGCCTCATATTACAGCAGAATGCAGCCAACAAGCTTTAATAGCTCCGAAAAATTTAAATGCGACCCAGATACGACCCCTTTCCTGATTTTTTTGCTACCATACATAAAATCATAAAAAAATCCACAGTTGACAGAATAACACCAAATTTTGCAATGATATGGCAGAGCATCTCTAAACTAAAGATAAATCATATGAGCCCGTGAGAAACATTACAAAAAGATTTAGAAGTTCATGATGGTCACAGCTGGTAAAGATATTCGCTTTTGTCGAGTGTGTAAGACTTCAGGAAGGCTTCAAAGGCAAGATTTCTAAGGCCCCGGGCAGACTTCACGCGATTTGATCGTCGCGACTGAATCGCGAGGAGACAACTGTTACAACATCATTCCATGCAGATCAACTTGCATTCGGTTGTGATACTTTTCCAGACCGAAATTTTTGGATGTGAAATGAAAATGAATGGAAATCTTGGCGATTTGGTCGCGACGATTAAGTCGCGTGAAGTCTGACCGGGGCCTAAGGCAATCGGTACATTTAGCATTTTTATGAAATCATACATCCTTCAAAGAGTTTTGAGCTCTTGCAAATGCTTTTTTTTTTTAATTTCTACAGATTTATTTTCTATTCTTTTTAATCTGATTTCCACTTTCTCATAGATTTGTTGTAAAGAACAAGACTAACTATCTGCTTTCTGATTCCTAAGCTTAGAGTATTTTAGCCTAAGTACCTCCTTTTACGAACCCCCCCCCCCCCCACCTTAGGTACCCTCTCTACGACCCCCCGTTGCGACAGTCGCATCACAAGCTTGACCCTGGTGACAGAAGCGGACAATTGAGGACGGGAAACGAGGACGAGGAACGAGGACGAGGAAGAGAGAGGACGGCGAACGCGCCGAAACGTTAGGCCACTCGAACTCAGACAGTCGAAGGGATACCTCCGGCGGGCAAATGGCGTGAGTCTGCCACTTCGCGCTCTGGAGCGCTCCAAAGCCCTGCCATTTCACGCATTTTGCTGCTCCGGGGCTCTCCCAAAAGTGGCGCACCTCCGGAGCAGGAATTTGCGCGTCCCGGAGAGGAGTCCCATTCGCCTGCTTGTAACGTCACCGTGACGTTACGGTGAACGAATGGTACCCCGCTCCGCGACGCGCAAATGTCTGCTCCGGAGGTGCGCCACTTTTGGGAGAGCCCCGGAGCACAAAAATGCGTGAAATGGCAGGGTTCCGGAGCGCTCCAGAGCGCGAAGTGGCAGACTTGCACCATTTGCCCGCCGGGGATTCCCTTCGACTCTCTGAGAATAAAGATACCACCATAACAAACCTGTTTGGCACAAGCAAAATTGGAGATTATTATATACAATGTCCAGGTTTAAAGAAATAGGAACATTCAAGTTAATAAATATTCTGTTTGATGCTTGGAAAATCCCTTACTGTACATGCCGCGCTCAATCAAGTTCCAACCTTACCATGGAATTAGCACAAATTCGAGCCTCAAAATTCAGCCTCCTTAGTCCCATGATTGTGAGATTTTTTGCTTGGCCAGAAATGTTCCGCAACACTAAACATTTGTTTTGGTCACGCAGACGTCATGTTACAAGAATGGCATTATTTACCAATACAATCACACTTTCGGCGTTAACTCTAGCGTAAGATTGGAACTTGATTGAAAAACGCGAGTACCCTAAAATCCGTACAATAAGTACGGACTTATCTGCAGTTTCGACGCGAAAAATCGATGAAAAAACGCCCTCTGCGCCGCCAAAAGTCTACCAGATAAGTCCCCCTAAATCCACTATCAGATAAGTCCGCAGCAGATAAGTTCGCCTATCCTGAGCATGAGAAAGCGGACTTATCTGCAGGACTTTCGACGGCGCGAGGGCGACTTTCGTTGTCAAGAAAGCGGACTTAACATTTAGTTCTTCTACGGACTTATCTGGTAGGGCGGACTCATCTGATAGGCGGACTTATTGTACGGATTTTAGGGTGCACTGAGAGTTTCGAAGCGTCGAACAATATATCTATCGAAAAAGCTTACTTTATCTTCTAGCCTTGCAAGAAGCTAATTAGAGTGCTTGAACCACAGAAAAACATATGTTCTCGGAGTGCACTGATTCTCAAAGGATTTTGAGCCATCTAAGAAGAGTAACGCTCTCTTTTGCAACTGCATCGGGTCACTGTGTACCATATATGTGAGATTTTCTTATGGTAGCTTTATAGAAAATTTTGGCTACAAAGATTGCGGTTTAAAGTGAAAAAGGGGATTCGTTTGAGGTGTTTCTATAATTACGAACCGCTAAGAATTCGCATTTGGTGCAGAAGCCTTCGTAAAATTGACACCGATATCATTTATGTGAGGCGTATACCGTTTTGGGCTATGCTCTTTACGTATGCCAACGGTCTTTTGCGTTTCTTTCGAAGACCGATCCCAAAATAAGGGGTGTTCGTATAATAATGAACGCACTTATCAAAACGCACGTACAAATGCAGGCCAGCTATTGCCTTCTACTCTCAGAGTTGCCGAAAACATATCCAATGTTCTCAAGAAAACAGTACTCAAATCAATCAAATGCAACATCATTTTTCCAGGTTGTCATAAAGTTTTGTCTTGCTGTTCTTTTTCGCTGAAAATGAGGAAGAAATAAGAAAATGGCATCTTTCCGTCCCCTCGATCTTTGATAGCTGCACTCTTGAAAAACGTCATACTCTCGTAATTCATGACAGATATCAATCTGCATCAATCTGCTTGAAAAACCCAAAAAAGTACACTTTCTCCAACAATATGTACTGCATTTCTGCGGCCGCGGATCGAGTTTTACTAAGGCAAAGCTTTCCGAAAATGTTAGAAATCTTCATCCTTAGTGGGGACAGCATAAGCAGCAATTCTACATTGCACCACTTCTGCGTGATTTGTATCACTTGTACTATCTATTTGATTTAGTTGTGAATTGCAAAACTAGTCCCATACTATAAAATTGTAAAAAAAAAGAAGAAAACATCGAATTACTTACTTGCCACTTCTCCTGCAGCACTGACTCCGCCTGTCACCGCACCCCAAGCGCCACCTAAATGCCTAGTGTATATATGTATACGAAAACCTAATATTCAGACATATAAGGAATAACCCACCAGCAACACTTGCAACAGCCTCTCCAGCAGTGACCACACCGGTCTTGACAGCACCAGCAGCAGTGCCTATATAGATTTTCTATTAAATTATTTCGAAATTTTGACAATAATTATGCAGATGATGTCAGGAACGGCATTGCTCCTTTCGCTGTATTAGGAGAAGTCCTCTATAACGTTAAAAGAGCACCGAATTCGCTACGGGGAGATCTGTAAATATAGGCAGTTTTCAAAATCCCTACCAACAGCTCCACCAACGGCTTCGGCAGCTGTCACCACACCATGTCCTACTGTTGATGCGGCATCACCTGAAAGTACAAGCCAAGGTTTTTCCCTTCGAAGCGAAAGCATAGGGTGGTTTACAAGTTCTACTTGTCTTCTGAATTTCACTTTTGAACAACCTAACTCTTTGCAAGGTTCTTTTTCTTGCTTTAAATTCTATAGTCCATCTATGCTTGACCACATTATATAGGCTGTATCAACCAGCATCGGTCCTGCGCTGGTATGCCTTGCGATGACGAGCTGTTGCGAAGCGCCTTAACGCGTAACAGTGTTCGCACCCATCGCACCGTACCGTCGCTATTTGCCGCGGGCACGACGTCGCATGACCGATGCTGGTTGGTACTGTCTATACATATGTGCTCGAACCAGTGGCGTACTCAGGATTTCGGCTCGGGGGGGGGGGGCGCGACAAAAAAATTTTTTTGAAGAAGGTGCGTGGCGTTAGCCACGCACTCCGAAAAATTTTTTGGGGTGCTTCTCAAAACTTTTGCGGGTCACCGACCCCTAAAATCTGGAAAAAGGGGGCGTGGCGTCAGCCACGCCCCCGAAAAAAATTTTTTTACAAGGCTAATTTGAATTTTTAAAAAGTTTTAAAAATTATTTTAATTATTTACAAAACTAAACAAGTCACTAGCACATTTTTATAACCCATATTAGTAACTTCCAAAAATTTCGGGACCCTTTCTCTTTCTCGGGGGGGGGGGGGCCCTCGGTACGCCACTGGCTCGAACATATTACCCCATTAACGAAAAAGATATTGAAAGCAAAAAAATGGCTAGTCTACCCTTAAAAAACTTTTCGCAATGTGCAAGATAGCGCAAACTTAGGTATTATGTAGCCGATGACGTTCAGTAGTGATCTTATATTTTACGAGAAGAATTTGAAGTAAAATACCGAAATTTTGGAAGTTCAAAGAAACTGACTTGATATGACTTTCCCAAGTAAGTAGAGAAATGCGTTTTTTAAATTTTTCGCCGCTGAAGATTAAAATTCCTCCCTCTTGCTTCGGCAAAAAAATGCCACTTATTTTGAACTGGCTACTTGAAGGAAAGAATTCAGAAGAGCAGAAACTTTTCTAATAACCCATTACATAATACCAGAACCAGTGCTTCGTTAACATTGCTGTGCACCACTGAATACCCAATAACAAGACGCAGTCGAGCAAAAGTTGTTCTGTAATTTTATTACTAGTGCGGCAAACAAATCGCGGATGGAAGCAGCATCAAACTTTACTAGCATTACAACTCTTCGCAAATTACACAATGTTCGTCGAGTGTAAGGCCGCCGCTCAAGTGGCGCATTTCTGGTTGATCAAAGATCTATGGAAACCAAATACATAAGGCTGAGCATGTGGTGAACTAGTGTGATAGTCACGGAATATTCGTAAGACTACTAGGTGAGATTCGCTTACCAATCCAGCCTCCAACGGTCTTCGCTGCCTCTACTGTACCATTTTTCACCGTTCCAGCAGCATCAGCTTAAAAGGAAAATTGAGAAAATAAGCCAAAAATTCGTCTAAAAATTGTTAGAGAACTACAAGCCGGATTATCTTTCTTGTTGCATGTAAAACTATACCTGAGAAGAAACCTCGAAAATCAAATTTTCTGTAGAAGATTAACGCCCCTCCTGATTGAAAAGTTCATAAAAACTGAAACTTTCTAGCTTTTAACGACCGAATTCGAAAAAGTATACAAGGATCATTTGCCTTTGTCAACTTTCAAGTCGCAGCATGACAATAATGACTCCTTCAGCATTAAAAACGTACAAAAGGATTTTTTGAATCTGGACTAGATTAGGAGTTTTGAAAATTTGGTGCAACATTTTTGGGCCCTTATGTTCATTACAAGTTCACAACGCTCAAATGCTTTTTAAAAAGAATTGAGCTTTAAAGTCATGCCGAAGGAATTTTGCAAGAGTAGAACTTTGGAAACTCACCAACGACCGCTCCGGCTCCTTTAGCCACACCAACAGCTCCACCGACTACAGTACCTGCTCCTTCAGCTGCAATAACCTCATTTTACATGATGCAAGCAAGTAAGTCATGAATTCTTAAAAATAGGTAAAATGAATCTGATATAATATCCATATATCACCTATGGGGTAAGAAGTTTCAGGATCGTGAGGTCGTCGTGCAATTTCTGCACTTGCACTTGAATCGTGGTCGTGAGGTCGTGCACTAACTGCACATAAGAGAATTGTGGCCAATATGGATACGATTAACCGCAGAGAAGTTGTCATAGTTTGTCGACTAGCCATCATTCAGGATCTGTTTGTGTTTGATTCGTAAAGAGAGCGCAAGCGACATGAATGACGATGTGAGAGATCGAAATTTGATTAGAATGTGATTGCATTATACTCGAAAAAGAACTAGACTAACAAAAATTCGTGTTTTCTCTGTGATATTTTGGCAAGTCAAAAAACTGTGCTCTGCATTTTCGTTACAATGGAAGACGAAGACAAGATAAAGAAGAGTTTAAAGACAGAAGATGCTGGTTATTGTAAAACTGTATATGACAGAAGATCAATGGCTCTAATGCTTCTTCCTATGAAATGCTCGAGTAACATATGTATCAATTTTGATACGAGTAAATAATGGCTTCTTTCCACCGTTTACATATTATACTTTTAAACATATAAATAGAACAAGTGGTGGCAAGAATATAACTGAAGAATTCGGCTGGCGCACATTACATTCGTGGCTGTTTAGATACGCTCGCACAGCTTTATATAATTCTGGATTACAACCCCGCACACGATGCAGAGCATTCAAGCCAAAACACTTTGTAAAGTGACAGCGAAAGCGCTGCGAGAATGAGAGACGCGATTAAAGATTCTTGGTCGCTTCTGCGTCATAGACTTGACCGAAAATATCTCTTCCTGTTTGTTCGAAACTTTAAGATACTGAAAAGTAGTTATTTGCTGAAGGAAAAGTGCTTAGCAATGACGATGAGCGCAAGCTGGCGAAAGTGTTCTTAAGTAATATGTAAATGGTCCAAATGACTAGTTTTCATCTTTACATTATTGAAATGATTTTTCGAACTCACGAAGAATGCGTTATTACAAGTGCCATTCCCAGACGAGCTTTTTACCAATTTAAGAGAATCAGACGCTGATTTAAAACTTGTCTTGGTATCTGCTACGCCCCCTGAACGCCGATAAGAGGCTTTGGGCTGGAAGGTTTTGGCAAATTTCGAGTAAAATCAGTCGTTACGATCCCTTCAGTGCTCAATAATCAGAGGAGTAACGAGGTGAGTGTATTACTCAGAAAGTGGCCATTGCATAAAGTGCCTAAATACCCTACACTAGCCTTGAGCGGTTTTTGGTGATCTCTTCTAGTTGCGTGATTCTTTCAATACAAAAAGCGTTCATGACTTGGCGTCCAGGGGTGGTACGTACAGAGCTCTCGCTCGGGTGAGTATTCCCGTGTATGTCATAATCAGACAGATGCGGGCGACCACGCCCATGTTGCGCGAACTTGGGAGTGGTCGCCCGTGCAAGAGCCTGCTCAGGTAGAATCGGGTAGATCTGCAACGCTTGGTCATCTACCCGATCTCGCTTGATTTGTGTGAGATAACGCTCCTCTCTTATTAGGTGGCCGAAAATGTTAGTAAATCGAACGATTTATCCATGAATCAATGAGTTCAATGGTAAAATCAAATAATTGTTATGTAGCAAGAGGTTTGTCTACTTTCAGACTTGATTTGGTTTGATGTTGAAATTTACAAGAGTTTCACTGCCCGATCTCCCCAGCCCGGGTTCTAATCCTTTGTAAATCTCAAGAATAATTTAAATCAAATTTCAGACCAGACAAATCTTTTGCAACATGACAATTATCAGATTTTACTCCTTGAGTAGTGAATAAATCGTTTGATTTACAAACGTTTTCGGCCATCTAATCAGGAACGTACGCCATTTTACACAATTTGAGGTTGAGCGAGATGATTAAGTAACCAGGGGCGGTATTTATCAACCTGCTATATAGGAAGGGGTTCCTGTACAGGTAACAGCCCGCACAGGCGCGGGCACTGGCGCCCGCGATATAAGCCAAGCTGGTAATCGGGTCCTGTCTAATCTTATATATAAAGCTGAATGTCTGTCTGTCTGTCTGTATGTCTGTACGTATGTGCGGAATAGAAATTTTTATTTCTGAACCGATCGGGACCAAACTTGGCACACATATACTTCGGGGCAGGGAGCGTGTCATAGGCTACTTTTCGTTATCGATCGATATCGATTTTATCGATTTTTATCGATTTTTTTGCTGAGTTCACCTACGGGGCCGGGAGTTGGCACAGGAGGGTAATCGAGCATGGGGATTCCGAATACAATATTGGTTTCCAGGATTATCGATTACTTTTATCGATTTTATCGATTTTTTTGCAAAGTTTGAGCTACGGGGCTGGGAGTTCGCACAGGGGGGTAATCGAGCATGGGGATTCCGAATACAATATTGGTTTTCAGGATTATCGATTACTTTTATCGATTTTATCGATTTTTTTGCAAAGTTTGAGCTAGGGGGCTGGGAGTTGGCACAGGGGGGGTAATCGAGCATGCTGATTACCCCCAAGGGGGGTGACCAGCATGCTCGATTACACCCCTGTGCCAAATTCCAGCCCCCGAGCTCAAATTTTCAAAAAATCGATAAAATCGATAAAAGTAATGGACGATCCTGAAAACTAATATTGTGTTCGTAATCAGCATGCTCGATTCCCCCTGTGCAAAATCCCAGCCTCGCATGTCAAAATTTACAAAAAATCGATAAAATCAATAAAAGTAATCGATAATTCTGAAAACTAATATTGTATTCGGAATCCCCATGCTCACTTCCCCCCCTGTGCCAACTCCTAGCCCTGTAGGTGAACTCTGCAAAAAAATCGATAAAAATCGGTAAAATCGACATCGATCGATAACGAAAAGTGGACTATGACACGCTCCCTGCCCCGAAGTGTATGTGTGCAAAGTTTGGCCCCGTGCGAAGCCGGGTACGCCAGCTAGTCTTATATATAAAGCTGAATGTCTGTTTGTCTGTCTGTCTGTCTGTACGTATGTTCCGAATAGAAAATTCCATTTCTTAACCGATCCGGACCAAACTTGGCACACATAAACTTCGGGCTCCGTAGGGTGTCATAGGCTGCTTTTCGTCATCGATCGATATTGATTTTATCGATTTTTTGCAAAATTTGAGCTACAGGGCTGGGAGTTGGCACAGGGGGGGTAATCGAGCATGCTGATCACCCCCGTGGGGGTGATCAGCATGCTCGATTACACCCCTCTGCCAAATTCCAGCCCCCTAGCTCAAATTTTGCAAAAAATCGATAAAAATCGATAAAATCGATATCGATCGATGACGAAAAGTAGCCTATGACACCCGCCGGGGCCCGAAGTGTATGTGTGCCAAGTTTGGTCCGGATCGGTTAAGAAATGGAATTTTCTATTCGGAACATACGGCGGAGCCGGGTAAGCCAGCTACTGAAGAATATGGTCCGATCTGGCAAGTTTGGCCATATCGGGCACTGCAGTCGGGCACCCTCTAGCACTGGGAAGTGGGCGCGGGAGACTAGACTTTGGAGCACTGGGAAATAGGTGGGGAAGACCCTGGAGCACTGGGAGAAGGGTGCGGGAGACCCGGGAGCAATGGCAGTCGGGCTCTGCTGCCACACTGCCGTGCCCAACATGGCCAAACTTGCCAGATCGAACCATTTGATAAATTACTGGTTGGCGCTCTCGCCTGTCCAGACTCTCGTTAACAATGGCCCGAAGAGCGAGCGGGAGATTAATGAATACCGCCCAGGCAATGCAGGCCTACCCGATTCTGCCTGACCGGGCTCATGCACGGTCAGCCCCCCCCCCCCACGTTCGCGCATTATGGGCGTGGGCGCACATGTCTAACTGATTACGGCCTGTGCGGAAACACCGAAAGAGAGATTGACACATACCGCCCCATATGAGCAAAGCAGATGATGACGACAGATTTGGAATCAGCGTTCAATGCTCTTAAACGGGAGGCGTGCAAGTGGTACCCGGGCAGCCGACTGCTGCCGTAGCCAGCTGCCAGAGCTGCCGGCAAAGCCGCTGCAGATGGTACAGTAATTACGCTCGTCGTTCGTCGTGTCTCTTGCCGAGAGGTTTTCTCGAACCTCGCTGCTCTGAGGTGCGATATCAGCCTTAGGAAAGCGTGCTATCCGCGGTATCCATATCATTTTCAGCAGAAAATTCATGTTTCTTGATAAACATGCAAATGAACAAAAACAAAAAAAACCGTGATAATAGGGAATCAAACATTTTTCTTCTATCACAAATTTTGAAATTTCAAAATCAAAGTGTAATAAATGTCCATTGGCTGTAATTTTGAGGATCCTTCATTTTCCAGTGAAGAATTCTTAGAAATCAAACTCACTTTTCCATGAACACTTTAGAATTCGAAATGCGCTTTTGTTAAAGGATTATCACAGGTGGTTCTTTCAAATTTGAACTTTTATTATTTTGCAACGAATTCTGAATTTCGAATTTTATCATTATTTATTTATTTTCTCAAAATCCCTGGAGAAGTGTACTGCGTAAATTAAAATATTACATGTTTCTTGGTGACCTACTTTCCCTTTTACATCAGCAGATGTGACATATTTTGATCTTTTATCATTCACCTATTCAATGTGATTGACCTGCTTGAACACATTTTGCTCTCGCTTAACGAGGATATCACGCTTTCCTGAGGCTGATATCGCACCTCAGAGCAACGAGGTGCGAGAAAACCTCTCGGCAAGAGTTTCAGACGACGACCGTAATTACTATATCATCTGCAGCGGCTTTGCCGCCAACTCTGGCGACTGGCTGCGGCAGCAGTCGGCTGCCTGGGTACCACTTGCTCTTCAACATATGGGTCTCGCTAAGAAACTCCACTTCAACTAACCACACTTTCCTTGTTTATCGGACTGAATTGGTCCTATAAATTTCTTGGAAGCAGTCAGGAGCGCAAAAATAATGAAAACCATCTTCAGCCTTCGGAGAGTAGCAAAATGGTTTTCAATAAAGCTTTATTTTTTCGCCTTTAGTCCTTCCTGCCGTTTCCCTCTCATCTCTGCGGGAAATTTCCCGTTGCCGCCGATAAACTGATTGCTATAGCAATGTTGAGAAAAAACGAAATAAGGTATGGAAGATCATTTACCTATTGACTCAAAATATTAGCTACAGTAAAGATTCACAGTAACTGCTTTAAGCCAATATAAAACTGAATCGTGTAAGGAAAATCTGTACCATAAATGGCCGGGATATTGCTGCGAAAGGACAAGAAAAAACTATACCTGCAATCTCTACGGCTCCTACAGCAGTCTCTTTGATTCCTGACCCAGCTTCACCTGCAAGTTAATATCATTGCCTTGGAGCAGGACTCTTAATTGCAATCTAATAATAAAGTTCGGATGAGCAAGAACAGTTAGCCGTACATAACTTATTAAGGAAACAGATAGTAAAAACCTACTAATCGCGTGTCCTGTTTTTTTGAGACCATGACTCAAGTGCTCGCTTCCCGAGACGACTGCCCCTTCTGCAACATTTCTTCCAAATGACAAACGGAGAAGAGCACTGACTTCACATACCACCATCTTTTCCTGCTTTGTGCATCCCGCGAGTTATGCCATCCTTTGCCGAATGAGCAGTATCTTCTAAAATCTCGAGATATTTAACACTTCATTATCATTGAAAAATTGTGATTCGAAAAAGTTGCGACGCAATCTTGAAGTAACTTAATATTAGGCCATTTCAAAAGTTCGCATTGTTCTTTAAAAAATCGTAACTCTCTGCTATCCGCCTGGATTTGCCTGGGATAATTTTTTCTAGAATGAAGAGATCGTGTAGTTTCTAACTGTAACTTAAATTCGCTCTGCTAAGCACAAGTTGCAGAGTCAAATTGCAAAAAGAAGATTACACAAATTTTGGTAATTTCAAAACAGCTCACCAAAAATCTTAGAACGTTAAAAAAACCGAAACGAAAACAAGCATATGCTTTATGATCTCGTCTTCCTAGCTAGGCAAACTCCTTGCTAAACGAATGTTTCTACGGAAAGTAATGATTTATTAGGGATTTGTTATCCGTTTCCACGAGAATCAAAATTGCTCTCGATTAGCACGAAACTCCCTTAGTAGAAAGAGAAAATCATAAAACCCTTAACTATAACTGTTTCGATCTCCGCTTTGGCGTTTTCAGGTTTTTTAAACGTGCTTAAAAATTGCAAAATTGAGGCAATTTTTTCAAATGCTTCTAACATGTGAACTGTTGCATAATAATCCATGGGAAAAGTGCCACTGTCATGTGCAAAAATTTCTCTTTCAAATAAAAATAGTTTCAGAATTATTCGTGACCCTGCTTGAAAGTGCCAATCCTGAATAATTGCCTTCAATTGCTTCTAACTCTCAAAATTTTCCATATTAACTCATGGCAAAAGCACTGCTGTAAAAGACATAGTCCATTCTTTCAAATGAATATAATTTCGAGAAAATCCATCAAGAAAGAAAGAAGTTATGATTTTTGAAAAAACTGGCGAACAAAGTTTTGAAATGACCTAGTATGATAAAGAAAAAACCATCTATGGAATGACAGCAAAAATTTGGCGTTAAACATATGAGTAAAGGAGAGTTAACGATTAAATAGTGTATAGTCACCTTTGAGATACCCCATAGTTTTTCTTAACATTCGCGGTTCTTCCAATCTCCTCTTGTAACTGTATATGAAATGGTTTCGAAATGTTGTTGAAAGAATGAAAGCTTTCCAGGGGCTATCTTGCTATTCCCTATTTGCTGCTTCAAAACCATTTCAGCTTGCCATTTGTTATAAACCTATCAAAAAGGGCTCGGCACGAGTTGGCACCAGGGAATTTTCAAAACGAAGTCCCCCTTGACTTTCGCCAAATTTTAGAATTGCATCTGACCTAAATTCTAAATGTAAGAAAAAGTACAAAGAACGAAACGTTTACTAAAAAACGTCTTTTCCGCCACAAAAACGATATCCCCGTTGCTTTTTGTCCCAAAAACGTTATTCGGCTTGCCCCGTGCCAGCTCGTGCCAGGTCCTGTACCGAAACCTGAATATAATAATAAAGAGATAGACACCCAACGCTTTATTTTACTACTAGCTGGCTTACCCGGCTCCGCCGTATGTTCCAAATAGAAAATTCCATTTCTTAACCGATCCGGACCAAACTTGGCACACATACACTTCGGGCCCCGGCGGGTGTCAGTCCACTTTTCTCTATCGATCGATGCCGATTTTATCGATTTTTTGCAAAATTTGAGCTAGGGGGCTGGAATTTGGCAGGGTGTGTAATCGAGCATGCTGATCACCCCCACGGGGGCGATCAGCATGCTCACTTACCCCCCTGTGCCAACTCCCAGCCCCGTAGCTCAAATTTTGCAAAAAATCGATAAAATCAATATCGATCGATGACGAAAAGTAGCCTATGACGCCGGGGCCCGTAGTGTATGTGTGCCAAGTTTGGTCCCGATCGGTTCAGAAATGGAATTTTCTATTCGGAACATACGTACAGACAGACATACAGACATACAGACAGACATACAAACAGACATTCAGCTTTATATATAAGATGGTTGGGTCTAAATCGCTTCAGGAATTTTCTGATCTGTGAGAAACTAAATTTTAAGGACTTTCAGTTGCAATCTAGGGTTCGGATGAGCAAGATCCGCCGTAGTCATGCATGACTCAACAATAAAACAGATATGAAAAACCTACTGGTCGCATGTCCTGCTTTTTTGAAACCGTGACTTATGTCCTCGCTTCCCGAGGCGGCTGCTTCTTCTGAATCATTTTTTCGAACAAATGACAGCAAAGAAAAGTACTAACACATACCAAAATCCTTCCCTACAGTGTGTATCCCATGGACTACGCCATTCCTCGCCGAATGAGCAGTATCCTCTAAAATCCCAAAATATTTACCGCTTCACAATTATTGTGAAGATGATGTGAACTTTAAAAAAAAAAAAGGTGCGAAAGAAGTTTTGGAACAAATTGATATAATAAAAATGTTGAAAAAAAAACCAGCTCCGTGGAATGATACAATTTTAGCGTGAGACGTTTCAACAAAAGAGAATCAACTACAGAACAGTGGATACTCTTTTTTGTGACCCCTATGGTTTTTCTATTCAGCTCTTTCTCTCACCCCCTTTGTAACTGTTTCTAGCTATTCTCTATTTGCTGTTTTCGTCGAGACCATTTTTATTGGCGAGGGAGGAGACTGTATGTTCCCAAGTGTTCTCTACTTTATCACGACATCATGTTGAGATACGTATACCGTATATTGGCAAGACCGGCCTCCCCTTATGCACGCGCACCAAAGAACACTTGGATGATCCCAGCAAGGGCAACGTAGCTACTCGTTAGGCACTCATCGCAGGCTCAGCCATGACGACGTGCAGGTGGGAGAGGTTCGAATCCTGGCGACTAAACCCAAAATCCTAGCGCGCAAAACACTCAAAACGTTTTGAATAGCCGCCCAATATCAAAAAATCAACCAAGGACCAACTAACGAAGTGCCACCACTTCAAAGGCTCGTCCGTCCGGTAATAATGAGGTCAGGTCAGAACCGGGTCACTAGAAACTATAAAAGTAATGCATACAGCTTTTGACATGAGTGCAACCACCAAATTGATCATCTGCTAAGATCACTTGCTTAATCTTGCATTTTAGCTCACGCTGATATTTTCCTAGAGAGAACTCTTTTCTGTAGTCGACAAGTTTTTGATCGGATAGTTTACTTACGTGTCTTCAACTTTTTAGACTCTAAAAGGAGTTTGCCGAAAAGTCAGTCTGTTAAAAATCTGTACTAATCCTGTCTCCACTGAAGCAATCAATCAGAAGATTCCTACAATGCTAACAAGGGAAGTACTATCAATGGCCGTGGCCTTTTGATATGAAGTGCATATCATCTGAAGCAGCTTCGAACGCTGATTTTAAATCTGCTTTCCGTTTCTGCGGAACGCTCTTCTGAAGAGAGTTATGGAAACCTGAACATTCTATTTTGGGGCGCTCCTTGTGTTTGAGGGCGCTGTTATGCGCATTGGTGGTGCAGTAATGTAGTGGTTAGTTGCTGACATCGAAGGCGACAAGGTTGATGGTTCGAATCCGGTGGAGAGCGAACTGTTTTGCTTATTGAATGTGAGTTTGAAAGCAATCTAAATCGTCTGCAGACACTTACTGTAATCCTTTGGCATGAGTGACCTAGAAAAAGAATTTTCTGGCAAAACTGCTTGTAATGAGAGTCTGAAATTCTATTTGACTTCCTTACTAGTAAAACAGGACCAAACATGGCCTAGCACGTTTGTCACCACATAAAGCTCAAAAATGCACACTGTCATTAGTCGAAAAGATTTTCTCTCCTGTTTGTGCTAAGGCATTATAGTAAGTGTCTGCAGACGATTTAGAGTGCTTTTAAACTCACACTCAAAATGCAAAATGGCTCGCTCTCCACCGGATTTGAACCATCAACCTTTCGCATTCAATGTCAGCAAGTAATCATTACACTACTGCACCACCAACGCACATAGCAGCGCCCTCAAACTCAAAGAGCGCCCCCAAAATAGGATGTTCATGCTTCCATAACTTTCTTCAGAAGAGCGTTCCGCAGAAACGGAAAGCAGATTTGAAATCAGCGTTCGAAGCTGCTTCAGATGATATGCATCTCATATCAAACAGCCACGGCCATTGAAAGTACTTCCCTCGTAAGATTTACGAGAGCATGGACATGGATTCTCATTTTCATTTGACATCCCTTGTGCCAGGCCCAATAACCTTTACCATGGAAGCAGATGGACACCCATCGCTTTGTTTTACTGAACATGTATGGGTCTAGAATCATCGCATGATTTTTTGATCCGTGAGGAAGTAACACTTAGGAGTTCAGTTGCAATCTAGGGTTTGGATGAACAAGATCTGTTGTAGTCGTGCATGACTTATCGTAAAACAGCTTATCGTAAGAAACCTACCGGTCGCATGTCCTGTTTTTTGCAAATCGTGACTCATGTGCTCACTTCCCGAGGCGGCTGCGTCTTCTGAACAAATTCTTCCAAATGACAAACGGAAAAAGCACTAACTTTACATACCTACATCTTTCCCTGCAGTATGTATCCCATGAACTATGCCGCCGTCTGCCGAATGAGCACTGTCTTCTAAACTCTCAAATTATCCATCACTTTATTGTTATCCATCTAGAATTATGACACAACTTCTCTCTAGTTTTAAGAGAAGAGTCTCTATAAATGTGCAAAAAATTGTGCTGTTGTCATTAATGAAGAGACACTATGTGAAAGATGCAAGATTCTGTGATTGGCCAATAGTTGGAAAATATAACACTGTATCATATGAGTCCATCACAGGTCATTTAAGCACTCTTTAAGAAAGTGGGAAAGGAGTGTGCGCTGTGCGCTTGAAGAGTTCGAAACAAAAGTCGCGCGTATCAGTTGGAGACCTAGCTACTACTCTACTTTATGCAACCCAAAAATTGCACGGATTTCGCTGAAATTTCACCTAGGGTGATTATTAAGGGATAGTGGTCATGCTGATTACGAATATCGCTTTTTTTCCGGCACGAAAACCTCTCCCTGTATGTTACATGGAGTGCGATAGGGGGCAAAATCCTAGATTTGACTGGAACTTCTAGAAAGTCTAGAAGGATTATTCGACATGTGAACATGATACCACATTATTAGGTCAATCGGGAAGTTTTTTCGCTTCTTGCGCTTTTGATGTTGGCGCCATATCTTGAAAAAACGCCAAAAGGGGTGACGAGGGCTGCTACGTATAGATCTGTAAAGAAAGTTCTCAAACTACTGTGGATCCCACCAAACTTGCAGAAGCTTTGTAAAGTTTATGCGGTTTTGAATTCGAAATGTGAAAAAGCGATTTTCGACTAATTGGATTCTCTGAGCGCAAACTTGAACGTATAGTTGAAGAAGACATCGTTGTGCACAATGCATTTGCCAAGGTTACACTCTTTCTCGAGGTGGGTGCAAGATTGCTCCAAAAATTTTAGATTTATAAAAGTAACTGATGTTTTGCAATGCTTTGGAAGGTGTTCCTGCCATGTAGGCGAGTATCTCACAATCAAAGGAAATTGCAAATATAACTGCATAAGTTTATTACCAGATCTTGGAGTGTCACATAGCCCCACTTGAAGTTACCTTTGCGAAAGCTACGATTCCGAAATCTCAGCAAATCTCACAAGCAACACGCTCGGCGGTTGTGTCAGATAATCAGTACAACTTTGGAAGGTTTTCGTTGCAAAGAAAGAGAAATGACTTTGAAGAGAAGCGCCGGGGTCATCAGAGATAATACAAACGCTGGAAAAATGCGGCTTGTATAGCTTCTCGCTGATGTTCAATGTGTTGTAGTGAAGGATAGTAGGAATACTCAGATAATCGCCGGGGCAGGCGGTTTGCAAACTCGCGCTTTTCTGCAAGCGGCCAGCAAAAATTTGGGGCCTGGCAAAACCTTCAGCAAGCGGTACTTCCTTTACCGTCGCATGTTCTGCCAGCGGGCAGCAATTCCAAAATTTCCGCGAGCGCGGGCCAAACTTTCAGCAGGCGCTCGGACTCTTTTTACGCAGTTTCGGGCGTACGCTGAGCAAAGGTAACGCTCTACATAACAGAGGGGTCATCGGTGGTTCAGTTACCCAAGGCTGGGGTGCCCTCCGAAGGCACCCACGAGCCGCGCGGCCCCCAACAACCCCGCACACCCCCGCGGAAGGTCCGCGAGAATGCAGCCGCCGCGCCGCAACCAATCCACGAAAAACCGCAGTTGTTCTCCGAGCATCCGTCCAAAATCTGGCCAGCATTCCCCATCCGCAACAGACCGCAAGAAATCAGCGAACTGTTACTCCGGTGCCCGCCCGCCATAAATCGCATGGCCGCCTGCCCCCGGCGAACATCTGAGTACTTGCAACAAGTAGACAACGTGCAAAGCACTCAGATAATCGCGGGGGGAGAGGGCAGACGGTCCGCAAACTCGCGTTTTTCGGTTTGGCAGAATTTTGGGGCGTGGCCAAATCTTCAGCAGGCGGTACCTCCTTTACTATCGAATGTCCTTCTAGCGGGACAGAATACAGAGTTCTCTGCGGGCGCTCGTCAAATAACTTCTTTCAGCTAGCGCCAGCTAAACTTTCAGAAGGCGCTAGGACTCTTTTTAAGCAGTTTCGGGCGTACGTCGAGCTGTGAGACTCTATGCTGCAGAGATGTCATCGATGGTTTGATTACTCAAGCTTGAGGTACTTTCTCTCAGCGGAAAATACCTGATAGCAATGCGGTCCTCCACAAAGGACCGCGCGGCCCTCAATAATTTTGCATATTCTCGCGGAAAGTCCGCGAGAATGCGGCCAATGCGCCGCAACTAATCTATAGAAAAGCCGCGATAGTTCCCGGGCATTCGTCTGAAAACTGGTCAACATTCCTCCAAATTTCTGCAAGCGGGCCGCAATAACTCAGCGAACTATTTTTCTGGTGCCCGCTTGCTCAAAAATCGCATGGCCGCCTGCCCCCCGCGATTATCTGAATAGATATCTGAAGCTTCAGAATACGAAGCTTCATTTAAGCTGCGATTCCCTCCCCAGCAAGGATGTTAATGCATGCGGCCCTAAATATGCTGTCATGCTGAGGCGCATTATTCTGTTACGAGTTGACTTTTGTCTGTGCAATTTTTGCATGCTTAGCAACTTGTTTAAAGGTCGGCATCACTATACATTGCTTGTACACTTACATAAGTCTCTCATCAGTACCAAGAACTTAATCTGGTGTAATTTGGACATCTCACCACTTCTTGAAGCGGAGCAGATTATATCCAGACAGTCTTTCCATAATGTGTAGTATGTCGCTTTCACAGAAAAAGCTGGCATCAGAGTAGTGAGCAGCAGCAAATGTATGGGCTACTGCATGAGGAAGGCGCAACACCTTTAGACGCGAACGCGGCTATATTAGCCTCGGAGCGCACGAAGCGCAGGGTTTACAACGGTGAAAATACGCGCGTGCCGAGTTCGCGCCCGCTCAACTAATGCTGCTTTGCGCCTTCGTCCTGCAGTTGCCTTTATGTCTCTTCTCAGAGATTACTTACACAAGAGCATATTAACGCTGCTTTAAAAAATCATAAATCTTTTTTATTAACAAAAATACAGCATCTGCTTATATGTATGTTTAATGTGAGAAGGGTATTTTGCGCGGAGACTCAATTTTCTCAATTTGAAGTATTGAATCTTTTCAAGTTTTAGTACAATCTTTAGATGATGTAACTGTGCAGAAGCTAAAATACCGTTTCGTCCAACTTGCTTTGCGCTGTTGATGGTACCTTTCATACGTTTTTAGACTTCGGCTGGTGTGCCGTGGAAGCAGATAAAAAAGGCTTCCTTCCTTTTAGTGCAGTGAAAACACTTAAGATTGACAAACTGACAGGCCATACATTGCGCATTGCGCCAGATCGTAGTTCAAGTTCGGATACTTTCTTTTTCGAAAATATAGAAAACGGTAGTGAAAAGAATTTTCGTAAGAGTTTCCTTGCTGAAAGAATTCTTTCACGTGCCAATAAGCTAAAGATCCTCATAGGGAAAATCAAAGGCGTTTTGTGTAACGCGTAGTCCCGCAGGATGAATTTGCAAAAACGTCTAAATACTTTCTATATTTCTATACGACTTATAATTTACCGACAGCTTTCCCAGCGTTTCCAAACTTTTGAGAAGCCCGATCTTTTCCTGTTTGTAGGCCGTCTCCTGCAATGCGCTCATTTTATGTACGAATACAGAAAAGAAATAAAAATTGAGTTCACTCACTGATCGTTCCCTCGACTTTGTTTATTCCATGAGCAGCTGTACCTCTCGCTGATGAAGCGGCGTCACCTATGAAATGCAGTCCCTTCAAATTTTGAAATCTACTTGTTTGAATTATACTTGTTTTTTGAAGAAAGAAGATATAGTCTAGCTGTATTCATCAGCAAGCAAGTGCCCAAACACATTTACAGGTTTAGGAAATTCAGTAGGTTATATTATTAGGATTCCCATCAATTCGAAAACCGTTCTTCTTCTCAAAAGGGCTGATAGGAGAATTTTAGGAACTGCCATGCTTTATGTTTGCCGAATACAAGTCTTTACAAAGATTAAAGAATAGAAATCGCTGCGTATAAAGGACTGAGTAGGTCCAGTTTCAAGAACAAGCTAAATTTGCCAAGGACTCAGGCTCTGTCGATTCATATATTGAGTCGGTGCAAAAGTTTTGTCAGTTTTTTCAATTAATCGGCAAACACGCTAGAATGAAGATAACCAAACACTTCAAAACGCATCCGATGCAGAATTTCCTCCTCTTTCTAGCGGCTAAACTCTCATTGTGTTTTGTTGAGAGAGTGACGAGATATTTGCTGGAAATTACAACCACTCGTTTTTACCATGTCCAAACTTCGCTAATTTTCAAAATTTTTGTATGAGACTTTTGGAGGAGCCCTAATAACGAGCAGTCAGGGCAAACCTTTTGCCAACTTATGCAATTTTTTTCTTTTTCTCGGCTGCCTTTTCACATTTTGCTAAATAATTTTTTAAAAGTCTTGTGTTTTGGAAAAATCGCACAACCTGTTATTGCACCAAACACTGCAAAACCTACAGAATACTGAGGTTTCAACACTCGATTATTACTATCGCTACCATTACAAAGTAAATGAGCGATTTCCGTTTCAAATTATGAAGATTTTGAAACATAAGTTACGTCAGTGCGCATTCCTGAAATTGAGAAATGCTGCGATTTTCCTCAAAAATTTCGCCTGTCTCGACAAAAAAAGACCAGTGTTAGAAGGAGGAGAAAGAGTTGCATCGAATGGTGACTGAAGAGTTCAACATTTTATGTTCTACGAGGGTAAAACAGGCTAAGTGTGATATTTGCTCACTTCAAAAAATAAATCGTAGAAATTCTGAAAGAAAGCCGCGGGGCTATAAAAAAATGCTTCTGTTGGCAAAGCTCCATCTGCTAGTCATTGGGGCTCTCCTCCGAAAGTCTCATACAAAAATTTTGAAAATCAGGGAAAGTTGGACATGGTAAAACAGTGGTTGTAATTTCCAGCTAATATCTCGTCACTCTCTCAAAAAAACACAATGAGAGTTTAGCTTCTAAAAAGAGGAAGAAATTCTGCATCGGATGCATTTTGAAAAGTTTGTTTATCTTCATTCTAGCGTGTTTGCCGATGGATTGAAAAAACTGACAAAACTTTTGCACCAACCTAATATAAGCAGATGTGTAACTGCGGGTAGAGGACTATATATGTAGGCTCCATTCAAACAACTGGCACGATCTGCAGCTACATGTTAGTGTGAAAGAGGTGCGTTATTTGTTGCATGTGTCGCTCGGGACCTATCTCCTTTCCGCGTCACGACGTTTTTTGAATCTTTATTGCGCAAAAATGTGCACTTTGTATTTCTCTTCTGTCTTTTCGAAGCACGCTCTCAGAGGTGAGCACTCCTCATTGTTCTTCTCATGCTTTCCATCCTCTCAGTGGCGTACCGAGGGGGGGGGGGGCAGGGGGGGGGCGCCCCCTCCCCCGAGAATGGGTCGCGAAATTTTTGAAAGTTACTCATAAGGGTTAAAAAAATGTGCAAATGACTTGTTTATACTTGTAAATGATTAAAATAATTTTTAAAAATTTTTAAAAATTCAAATTAGCCTTGTAAAAAAAAATTTTTCGGGGGCGTGGCTTACGCTACGCCCCCTTTTTCCAGATTTTAGGGGTTGGGGACTCGCAAAAATTTTGAGAAGCACCCCTAAAATTTTTTCGGAGTGCGTGGCTAAAGCCACGCACCTTCATTTGAAAAAAAAATTTGTCGCACCCCCCCCCCCCCGAGCGGAAATCCTGGGTACGCCACTGCATCCTCTCTATGTGTGAACTTTCTTATAGCGGATGTAAGAGACTCGGTTGATTGTAGTGTTCTGCGATTCGAAATTCGAGATAAAGCGATGGCACAATGATCATAGGAAATGACTGGACTGTATATGAAAACCTTTGCCGGCTTGTGGAATATTGGCGCACGCAAGTAGTGCACGACAACATTCCAACTGTTGCATCGACCCCTAACCATAACACTTTGTGAAGGTCCGATTAGAGTCTCGCCTTTCAACGACTGGCAAGAATAACGTAGAAGTCGCTGCAAAAGATCAGCGCACTCTAAAACTCCTTCCAGCTTCCTCAAGTGCGCATGAGGACAATATTTGCGAGGTTTATTCAAAAAAATTTTGATGGGTTGACCTCAGTGGCGTACCGAGGGGAGGGGGCGGGGCGCCCCCCCCCCCTCCCCGAGAATGGGTCGCGAAATTTTTGAAAGTTACTCAAATGTGTTATAAGAATGTGCAGAGAACTGTTTACACTTGTAAATAATTAAAATATTTTTTAAAAATTTTTAAACATTTAAATTAGCCTTGTAAAAAAATTTTTTCGGGGGCGTGGCTGCCCACGCCCCCTTCTTCTAAAATTTTGGGGTCAGGAACCCAGAAAAATTTGAAACATCCCAAAAAATTTTTCGGAGTGCGTTGCTAACGCCACGCACCTTCATTGAGAAAATTTTTTTGTCGAGCCCCCCCTTCCCCCTCCCCCCAAGCCGAAATCCTGGTTACGCCACTGGTTGACCTATATTTCAACATTTATTATAGGTGATATGTAGTAGGAAGCTTAGATGACTGATTAGAAACACTATGGTTGCTATCGTCGAGACCGTGCATTACGATATCGTCAAAAACCTTTGAATTTTAAGCCTAAGGCATGCTTCACGCGATTCCAGTCCCTGCGCTATCTGGCACTGCAGCGACTCTTCGTAACCGATCGTTAGCGCGCTTTGCATGGGCCAGACTTAGAGCTTTTGCTATAACTTACGGTAGCTACGCGCCTTTGCACTTAGGATCCGCAAACGATTGATCTGCAAATATCTGGCAAACTGCCAAGTCGCGTGGATGTAGAGATTTGTCGAAATCGCGCGACGAGGTAAGCCTTAGACCTAAGGCATACCTCACGCGATTTCAGTCGCTGCGCGATCTGCCAGTGCAAGAACTCCTCATAGCTGGTCGTAAACGAACTTTGCTTGGGCCAGACTTGGTGCGTCTTGTACAACGTAAATTTATGCGCCCATGCATCTGAGAGCCGCGCATGCTTGATATGTAGAAATCTGGCAAATCGCCAAGTCGCGGGGATGTGGCGATTTCGCGAGATCGCGGGAGGTATGCCTTAGGTCTTAGGCATTAGGCAGCTAAATCGGAGGATGTCCTGATTGACTTAATCAACAATGCAAGCATGATTTTGAGCAACTTGTTTGCATTGTGGGTTTTTTTGAGAAGATTGGCATATCACAACTTATTCAAGAACTTATTTCGTAAGCTGCAGTTGGGTTGAGTCGCAACTCTAATAGCTATATTGTGGTCGAAAGTCTGTGATATGCTAACTTTTCGAAATGTTATTATTGGGAGTTTGGATGTAAATTTGGCATTAAAGACAGCGTCCCGGCAAAATGATGGGTGCCCGAATTTTGAAAGTGGCAGTGACAGGCCTCGCAACTAATTCAGTGAAGTCTGTAGCGAAAAACCGCGTCTGGGAAGCCTGAAATCCCTTGGGAAGTCTTAGACCTCGCCCCTTCGTTCCGGAGCCTGCTCACTTACAATTTGCAGCGGCTGCGGACTCGGAGAGCTTCAAAAAAAGCTCATTTCGCAATTCCGTGCGCTGTAAAACGCAGATGTGGGTTCACCACGTCGAGAAGGCTCCAAAAAGGTGAAAAACTGGAGAGCGAGATTTTGCCGGGACACCGCCTTTAAGGTCTCAGACCTACAAATGTGATTTATTGCAATTGTGCAGTTTTTGGAAAAAATAGGCAAAGGAACGTACCAATGCCTCTCGTAGCATCCTTTGTCGCGTCTGCTACCTTGCTGCCATATTTTTCTGAAATCAGTGACTTGACTTGTTTAAGTAGGACCTGCCTTCGTATGTGGAACACATGGTATTACAAATCAAAGGATGCAATGTTAGTGACTGCACGGAATATGAAACTGAATATCTTGACGGAGCTCGAAAAATTGACATCTACATCTATTACCGAAACTTCCAGTGGCAGCATGGAACTGGTCCCTCGTCCGGGTGGCGAAAGTAGCTATTTAAAAAACCTTTTGATTGTTGTTTATAACTTCATAATGAACAATGTTGAATGTAACTCCGCATGTAAAACTTGGAACTATACATCGAGCGAAGGCTGAATCTTAAATGAAAGCTACACAGGCGCTTGGTGACATGGCGCAAATGCAGAGCTTTTAAGCTGAGTCTTACGGTCGGCGCGACCCAGCTCCCACAGCGGCCTTCGACGCGTTCGCGAATGTGTCTCGAAGCATTTGCTCAAGATCATCGGCGTCATTGTTGTCTTAGGATGCGGTAAGCTTTGAACGTGGGAAAATACCGTATCCGCTGAGGACGAACGCGGCGAGAGACCGAAGCTAGGTAGTCCGCGAGGAGCCGAGCCGAGCAGATTGTGAACTCATATTGGAACCTCTGTAGGTGTTGATAGCTTCTGTGGAAGGTTCTGGGCCTACTCGCACCCGCTTCGCAATCTAAGGAAACGGATTCGTCCGCATATACCTTCTTGGTCGAAAACGTCACCAAACTTTACCCACGAATAAAAGCTCTTAATGTTTTCGTCAGAGTCATCCCTCTACCTGCAGAATCTCCTAGAATAATCTGAAAAAGATCAGCCTATTGGTTTTAATATATCAATCTGTCCTTAATTATCCGCGACTGAAGGGCTATGCCTTAGAGCAGCGAATTTGATAAATTTTGAGTCTAGTCTTCTTTTGAAGTTTTGCGAGTGCCATACCACTATGAAAGGAGTGTTTGGTCAAACTCTTACTGTAGTAAAACATATTCTGTGCTCAAGGTCACAGCATAAACGAAGTTGTTTATGGATTTTTTGAAAAAAGTCAAGTCACTTAAAGGCAGCAGCTCGCTAAAAACAAACATCCCGAAATTTTGATATAGAAGGTTGCTTGCAGCCCAAACATGAAAACAGAGCAGATCCGAGCGCACAGCATGCTGCCCTTGCCTAAATTACTGCCCCTAAACCTGTTACGCGCAAGCCATTCTAATACGCGCGAACGAGCTTGTCATTTTCCCCGACCCGTCAGAGAAGGCATGACGCAATGTTATAACTGCGAGGGTCCCGGAACAATTCTGCATCTCTAACCATGGCGGGACGTGCTCCACTCGTCCAAATTCAAAGTGGGTGGCCTTGGAAAATGGTGGTTGCCATTTTTTTTGCCATTTTCGCGCTTTCCAAAGTAGATTTTCGGAATCAGCGCTTCGAATTACCCCAAGTAAGCAAAATTCGAGAATCTGCCGAGCTGTTGCTTTTGAGCACGACTGCAAAAGCATAGGTCGCCTAACCTTCAGAGGCGTTGTACCTGGCCCGTCAACTTTAACCCAGATACATTCATGTTTTTTCATCGAAGACTTGGCAGAGACCAGAATAGTTGTTTGAGGCTACTTTACTTTTTTCACCATATAAAGTAACATACAGTGCAGACACCAAATATAAATTAGGCATTGAATCTTATATATAAAGCTGAATGTCTGTTTGTCTGTATGTATGTATGTATGTATGTATGTATGTATGTGTGTACGTATGTTCCGAATAGAAAATTCCATTTCCGAACCGATCTGGACCAAACTTGGCACACATACACTACGGGCCCCGGCGTCATAGGCTACTTTTCGTCATCGATCGATATTGATTTTATCGATTTTTTGCAAAATTTGAGCTACGGGGCTGGGAGTTGGCACAGGGGGGTAAGTGAGCATGCTGATCGCCCCCGTGGGGGTGATCAGCATGCTCGATTACACACCTTGCCAAATTCCAGCCCCCTAGCTCAAATTTTGCAAAAAATCGATAAAATCGGCATCGATCGATATCGATTTTATCGATTTTTGTCGATTTTTTTGCTGAGTTCACCTACGGGGCTGGGAGTTGGCACAGGGGGGTAATCGAGCATGGGGATTCCGAATACAATATTGGTTTTCAGGATTATCGATTACTTTTATCGATTTTATCGATTTTTTTGCAAAGTTTGAGCTACGGGGCTGGGAGTTGGCACAGGGGGGTAATCGAGCATGGGGATTCCGAATACAATATTGGTTTTCAGGATTATCGATTACTTTTATCGATTTTATCGATTTTTTTGCAAAGTTTGAGCTACGGGGCTGGGAGTTGGCACAGGGGGGTAATCGAGCATGGGGATTCCGAATACAATATTGGTTTTCAGGATTATCGATTACTTTTATCGATTTTATCGATTTTTTTGCAAAGTTTGAGCTACGGGGCTGGGAGTTCGCACAGGGGGGTAATCGAGCATGGGAATTCCGAATACAATATTGGTTTTCAGGATTATCGATTACTTTTATCGATTTTATCGATTTTTTTGCAAAGTTTGAGCTAGGGGGCTGGGAGTTGGCACAGGGGGGTAATCGAGGATCATCCCCCTTGGGGATCATCCCCAAGGGGGGTGATCAGCATGCTCGATTACACCCCTCTGCCAAATTCCAGCCCCCTAGCTCAAATTTTCAAAAAATCGATAAAATCGATAAAAGTAATGGACGATCTTGAAAACTAATATTGTATTCGTAATCTGCATGCTTGATTACCCCCTGTGCAAACTCCCAGCCCCGCAGGTCAGACTTTACAAAAAAATCGATAAAATCGATAAAAGTAATGGACGATCCTGAAAACTAATATTGTGTTCGTAATCAGCATGCTCGATTACCCCCCTTTGCAAAATCCCAGCCTCGCATGTCAAAATTTACAAAAAATCGATAAAATCAATAAAAGTAATCGATAATTCTGAAAACTAATATTGTATTCGGAATCCCCATGCTCACTTCCCCCCCTGTGCCAACTCCTAGCCCTGTAGGTGAACTCTGCAAAAAAATCGATAAAAATCGGTAATCGACATCGATCGATAACGAAAAGTGGACTGTGACACCCGCCGGGGCCCGAAGTGTATGTGTGCCAAGTTTGGTCTGGATACGGCGGAGCCGGGTAAGCCAGCTAGTATTGAATATTTGCAAAGGCGAAATCAAATACCCGCAATACCTTCAACTCCTTATTTAGCAGTATCTTGGACGTAATTTGCATGGATGAAAAAGGTGAGTACTTTGCTTCAAGTGAAAAAAGGAACGATAATAGAGGCAAAGTTTTAGTATTTGTAGTATAACCTATTTTAACTTCGGACGAGGAGCAACAAGGCGAGCGAGCGATGTTACCAAGAGATGTTTTGAATCTGAACTTTGAGATAGTAGAAGTGTCACTCCTTTGAGCTTGCGGATGATTTTATGTATCCACTCACAGTGACCACTTATCCTTGTGGCACGAGTTATCGCAAAAAGGAAAGTTTTCGGAGTGTAGGTTCGTACAACAATTTGCTGTTTTGCGACCAGCTTCCGCAAGCGTTTGAGAAGGTTGATCTCAAAGCGCTACCAGCTTGTTGCCGGGGACAGAGCAAAAGCCTCCTTTCGAGGGATCCTTTTGGTTTTCAAGATTATTTTTGAGAAAAATTTGAGAAGCGAGTGCCATGAGAACCAAAGTATAAGGAAAAATCCCTAAAAACCTCTTTGCTTACGCTTCCCTACAGCAACTGCTTGTAAATGCTCTCGTATGATCGGCCTCCAGATTCGTGTGGAGGCGGCTTGGGGAATTTCCTGATTATAAGGATAAACTTGAAGGGAGAGTACGAAGAACATACTGCAACGTGAAGGTTTAACAAGTTTATTTTTATAAACAGGAAAAGTCCGCCACCCGCTTCCACACGAATTTGACAAGGGAACGATCCCAACTTAAGGCGGCAAACTAGTATGAGCAGCATACCATTAGATGCGTCTTGATGAGCTGATTCCAAATCTACCTTCTATATCTGCGATGCCCTTCTCTGGAAAAAGTTATAAGCGGTCAAATGTGTAAAGTCATTGAGGTTTCAATGTATATGTGAAGTCATTGGGGTTTCAATGTACGATGTGCTTTAAAGTCCAACTTACCTTGCAGATTAGCATGACATTAAATATGCTGATCTTAGGGCATATCCACGTTTGACGAAAACACAAAGAAGTGTTTTTGATTGATTAATTCTTGAGGTATGGCCTTGTGTTGCCAAATTTGGACTTTTCATTGCTCATAGTTTCTCCTAAAGACTTTATAGAGGGCTTATCAAATTGAGTGTCGTTTGCAGCAGCATCTCCTTCTTCGCTCTGAACTCTGCGCCTCTTCTGCGGAAGATGCTCTTTAATCACTTCCAATCGATTGAGGCCGCGTCTTTCCCACGCTCGCCCTGGGACTGTGCTCAAAGAGTATGTCTGCGGAAGAGATGCAGAGTCCAGCGCGAAGATGGAGATGCTGTTGCAAACGACACTCAATTTGATAAGCTCTATACGTTCTTTTAGTTGTTCAAAAACACTTACTTGTGTTTTCTTCGAATATGAGCATTCTTTGAAATCAGTACACTCAATATCATGCTAGTCATGCACTCCCAACTAAAAAATCTTCAATGAATTCACATTGCATTATGAACTGAAAGTCAAATGAATTCACATTTTCAACCGTTCAAATTTTTTCCAGAACGGCATCGCAGACATGGAAGGTAGATATGTAATCAGCTCGAGAAGACGCATCTAATCATATGCGATTCAATCCCATTCGCCGCATTGAGTTGGGATCGTTCCCTGTGAGAGCCGATGATAATGTCGTCTCCCCGGTGTACGTTGGGCGGAGCTTTTGCGGACATTTCAACACGTTGGTGAACTTGTTAACCCTCTACTACGAGGCATTGTTTTTTGTGATCTCTCGCTACCAACCCTGCCACGTGTGACAACAGCATATAAACGTGGCAGGTTAAAGAGTACAAGGAACCATG